AGGTCATGATCCCAGGGTCCTGGGATCGAGCCCCGCATCGGGCTCCCTGCTCAGCGGGAAGCCTGCTTCTCCCTCTCCCACTCCCCCTGCTTGTGTTCCTGCTCTCGCTCTCTCTCTGTCAAATAAATAAATAAAATCTTAAAAAAAAAAAAAAAATCAGAGAGAATGAAAAAAATAACAAATTTAATATTGTCTGGATACCATGTACTCATAGACAACCTGAGTTCACACCCAAACAGCCCCAGAGCGGTCCTGCGGCCAGTGATCCGCAGGTCCCTCGGTAGCTTGTGGCACAGGAGAAGGAAGCAAAGTCTTCCAAGTTTAGGCTGAGCTACAAATAGCTACATCAGCACACGCAGCCCCTACAGAGAAAGCCACTCAACAAGCCCCCGCTGGCTGCATATAAACGGCTCTATTGACTTGGAGCCATGAACTCTCAGGTCTCTGGTCTAAGAGAGAAATGGAAGAAAAATCCATTCAACTCAAAGCAAGAAAATCTGCACCTGCCACCCCCTTCCATCTGCAAACCCATGCTGAGCTCCTCTAACTGCCTGGGAACAGGGGCGGGCTTATTTGGCAATCAATCATGGGAGAGGGAGTTCTTTCTGAAATGTCCTCATATTTGTAACAATATCACACTCAAGCTTCCCACTGCCTTTTTCCTTTCTTCCGAACAACTCCAAACAGTATCTTACTCCCTGTTATGCTTAATTTTATGTGTTAACTTGTCTAGACCAAGTGCCCAGATATTTGGTCCAGCGTTATTCTAGAAGTTTTGGGAAGGTGCAGGTATTTTTTTTTTTTTTGGATAACATTAACACTTAAATCAGTAGACTGTGAGTAAAACAAATTGCTTGTCATAATTTGGGTGGGCCTGATCTAATCAGTTGAAGGCCTTCATAAAACAAAGACAGACCTCCCTTAGCAAGAAGGAATTCTGCCAGGAGACTGCCTTTGGACTTGAACTGCCTTCCCTGTGTCTCTAGCCTGCCAGCCTATTCTGCAGATATTAAATTTGCCTAGCCTCCACCATCACATAGGGGGATCGCCACTTCCTTAAAATAAATATAAATCTCTCTCTCCCTCTCTTGCTCGGTATACGTGAAATATACACACACACACATGCTGTTGTATAATATATATATTATATAAGATATATCATTATACATTGTACACTTCATATATTATATATATACACATTATACATCATTATATAATACTATGTAATATGTACTATATACTTTTATATATTACACAACCTGTTGTATTTGGTTTTGTTTCTCTGGAGATCCCTGACTAATACACCTCCACAACAACTGACTTTCCATTGGAAATTATCCCTTATTATCTGTACTTGCATGAAATTTAAAGTCATCAAATGATTAAGAAGATAAAAATAAAAAACCTATATGGGGTGCCTGGGTGGTGCAGTTGGTTGAGTGTCTGACTCTTGGTTTTAGCTCAGGTCATGATCTCAGGGTCACGGGATCGAGCCCCACGTTGGGCTCCCTGCTCAGCATGGAGTCCGCTTGGGACTCTCTCTCTCTCCCTCTCTCTCTGCCCCTCCCCACTCCCACCCTCAAAATAAATGAATAAATCTTTTAAAAAAGTAAACACCCCACAAAATACAGCAACCGAGGAAGAATAACATCTATGTATTGATCAAAGCCATCATAGTGGATATATGTGTTTTTAAATGCAACTTTAAGTCAAACAAGTGGTATTAATTTTGTATCTATTTTGTGGCTACCTTTTCAATATGTAACAACTCATTAGGATACTAATGAGCACCAGGTTGGCTCAGTTGGTAGAGTGTGTGACTCTTGATCTCAGGGTCATGAGTTCAAGCCCCACAATGGGTGTGGAGTCTACTTTAAAAATAAATAATTCTCTTTTTAAAAAGGATAGTAAATTATACCTTCTTCCCTAATTGTTACAGGAGACAGGTACATGACCTGGGTTCACACCATGAACTTGTCTTACTTAGCCTTTCAGGGTTCATTCCCAGCTCACTACTCACTCACAGTGTGACCCTGGGCAAGTTACCTCTCTGTGCCTTTGTTTCCCCACCCAAAAATGGGGATAATAATACCCCCTCCCTGAGGTTTTTGAGAGGATTAAATGAAGTAGTACACGTAAACACACAGCAAACTGTCTAGCATAGTGTTTTTCAAACAGTAGGTTTTGCCCTATTCATGAAATAAATCTAGTGGGTCTCACAGCCATCCTTTAAAAAAAAAGCATAAATTCACTAATGTAGAAAAGAATGGTCAGAGGACATTAAACGTACATAAGGTAAGGGTTTTCTCACCAAACTTTCGTTTTGGATACGCACGTGCCTGCATGCACTCTTGCACTCACACACACAAACACACCAGCAGATGGTCTAGATTTATTTCTTACAGTCAAACACAGGTAGGAAAGGCCGGACTCCACTGTATAAGAAGTGTTCTATAGCATTTGGTAGCATCATCATTATTATCTCATTTGGAAAGATGATAAAACTTTATTAGCATAATAAAACAGAGTTGCTCCTCCTCGTATCAGCTCTGCCACTCATTTACTGCAGTGCTGTTTAAGAGTCACTCCACCTCCCTAAATCACTTGCCAACTCTCTCTCCTCAAAGGCCTCGGCGGTCATTTAAATATTTTCTGACTCACAGTGCTGGCCAAGGATTAGTGAGGCCCTGCCCAGCCCAGAACATATGAAATGTGAGTGATCTGTTGAGAAAACCACTTGAGTTTGCAAGACTGCACAGGGCTTTTGTAAAATTAAAGCCATGCAGGAGAGAAACCATCCCCAGCACCCCCATGGGAAATGTGTCATGGAAAGAGGTTACACAAGGGCAGCTAAGCTGCGTCTTCTGAGACTAGAACTTCAGCTCCGTGACATGCTTCCTTGTTCTGGGCCTGGGTTATATCATTGTGTTTTTCCCCTAACTTCCCATGTGCACATGCATGCACACACACCCCTCAATAAAGAATGGAAATAAAATCCCTATGAACTGCTTGATCTAACAGATTGGGTAAAGGGAACCTGCTAAACCACAGGAACTTGGGTTTTGACGATCTCAAAATAATTTCCATTGCATATCATTTTTTCCCCTCCAGAAACAATCTAGAAACTCTACCCAAATTAATACTTTTTTAAATTGCTTTTTTTGGAACAACAGTGATAAACAGCTCCAATCTCTCACACACAGTAGCACCATTTTGTTTAAAATGGAGCCCGTCACCCCAGCGGAGAGCACGCTGAGGTGGAGTGGATTTGCATTTCCCAATGTAGTTCCCCGGGTTGTTCCTTCAGTTTGGAAAACCAGATTCCTGTTGACACACACGTAGGTGCTTCACTTCTTTATTTCTTCTTCTCTAAGACTACAGTTGTGGACTTGTGCCAAAGCATGACATCTGGAATGCATAAGTGCAGGGAGAGGTGTAAACTAATCTTCTAATATGCGATAGCATTCCTTTCTTATTTTTATTCCATTCTTTAAACCATGATGCCTGTTTGGGGGAAGGAGGCAAAAATTGCTTTAGCAGCAGCACCTTTTCCTTAAATGAAATCCCACCTCTGCTCAGTAAATAAAACAAGTTAAATTGCAGCCTCATCCAATACCCTCCACCACTCCCTGGTGCCTCCATGGCTCTGGGGGGCCCCAATTCTCACCACGTTTCTCAAGCATGGAGGCAGGGAAGTATGGGAGGATCTCTAGGGATCACCATCACGCCCTCAGATAAAGAGAAACCAGGTCTGCCATAATGCTCAGTCCGTGCCAGAGGCACTCCCATTTCACACATTCAGGAGTTAAATGTTTTATCCAAGGTCTCCGGACTTAGATTACACTACACTATACTTGTCACTTTCTTCAACAAAGAAAAAAGATGCGGATGTCCCTGGGTTTTTGTCTTTGCACCTTGAAAGATGGAATGCTGAGGGTCAGTCAACCAATGAACGAATGATGCATTGGGACCTGGACTTAGTATTGTTAAGCTAGCAAAACTCCCCACTGACCTTCCAATTCAACACAGCCCATATTAAAATCTCAGCTACCTTTTTCGCAAAAAATTGACAAGCTGACCCTAAAATCCATATGGGGACCCAAAAAGCCAAAATAATCATGAAAAAGGACAAAGAAGACTCACACTTCTCGATTTCAAAAGTTACCACAAAGCTACAGTAATCAAGACAGGAGTATGGCATAAAGATAGACATATAGACCAATGCAATAGAATTAAGAGGAAGGACTAAGCATGCACATTATGGCTAGTTGATTTTCAACAAGGCTGTCAAGAGAATTCAATGGGAAGAATAGTCTTTTCAACAAATAGAACTGGGACAACAGAATATCCACATGCAAAAGAATGAGTTTGTACCTCTACCTCACACCACATATAAAAATTAACCCAAAATGGATCAAAGGCCTAAATTCAAGGACTAAAAACTATAAAACTCTTAGAAGAAAATTAAGGCATAAATCTTCATGAGCTTGGATTAGGCAAACATGTCTTAAGTATGACACCAAAAGCACAAGCAACATAAGAAAAATAGATAAATCGGACTTCATCCCACTTAAACCCTGGGCTTCAAAGAATACAACCAAGATAATGAAGAGACAACCCATAGAATAGGAGGAAATATTTGAAAATCACGTATCTGATAAGGGACTGAATCTAGAATATACAATTATAAATCAATAATAAAAACAGAACCCGGGGCGCCTGGGTGACCCAGATGGTTAAGCATCTGCCTTCGGCTCAGGTCATGATCCTAGGGTCCTGGGATCAAGCCCCAAATCGGGCGCCTGGCTCAGCAGGGAGCCTGCTTATCCCTCTCCCTCTGCCTCTCCCCCTCCTCATGCTCTCTCTCTCTCTGAGAGAGATCTGTATCTCTGTGTCTCAAATGAATAAATAAAATCTTTAAAAAAAAAAGAAAAAAGAACCCAAGTTTTTAAAAATTGGCAAAAGATCTGAAAAGACATGTCTCCAAAGAAGATATACAAATGGCCAACAAGCACATGAAAAGATATTCAACCAACACAATGTTAAAGAAGAACAAGTTGGAGGACTGCCGCTACCAGACTTCAAGACTTAGTAAAAGCTACAATAATCAAGACAGTGTGGTATTAGCAAAATAATCGACAAACAGATCAATGGAAAAAACAGAGAGCCCAGAAATGGACCCCCGTATATGTCATCAACTGATCTCTGACAAAGGAGCAAAGGCAAAACAATGGAGCAAAGATAATCTTTTCAACAAATGGGCTCGAACAACTGGATATCCACATGCAAAATAATGACTCTAAACACAGACCTGACATTCTTCACAAAAATTAACTTAAAATGGATCAGAGACCTAAATATAAAATGCAAAACTATAAAACCCCTAGAAGATAACATAGGGAAAAATCTAGGGTATGGTGATGCCCTTTTTAGATATAACACCAAAAACACAATCTATGAAAGAAATAATTGATAAGCTGGACTTCACTAAAATTGAAAACTTCTGCTCTGCAATAGATAATTCCAAGAGAATTAGAAGACAAACCACAGACTAGAAAAAATATTTGCAAAAGATACATCTGATAAAGAACTGTTATCCAAAACATACAAAGAGCTCTTAAAACTCAACAATAGGAAAACAAACAACCTGAATTGGAAATGGGCCAAAGACCTTAACAGACACCTCACCAGAGAAGATACATAGATGACAAGTAAACATATGAAAAGATTCTCCACATCATATGTCATCAGGGAAATGCAAATTAAAGCAATAGAATACCACCCCATGCCTATTAGTATGGCCAAAATCCACAACCCTGACAATACCAAATGCTGGAAAAGGATGTAAAGTAAAAGAAACTCTCTCATTTGTTGCCGGTGGGAATGCAAAATGGTACAGTCACTTTGGAAGACAGTTTGGTGGGTTTCTTACAAAACTAAACATACTCTTACCACACAGTCCAGCAATCACACTCCTTGGTATTTACCCTAAGTAGCTGAAAACTTATGTCCACACAAAAACCTGCACGTGGATGTTTATAGCAGCTTTATTCATAACTGCCAAAACTTAGAAGCAACCAAAATGTTCTTTAGTAGGTGAATGGATAAACTGTGGTACATCCAGACAATGAAATACTACTCAGAACTAAAAAGAAATGAGCTATCAAGCTATGAAAAGACACAGACGAACTTCAAATGCATGTTACTAAGTGAAAGAAACTAATTGCTACATACCATATGATCCTAACTATATGACATTCTGGAAAAGGCAAAACTATGGAGACAGTAAAAAGATCAGTGGTTGTGGGGGGCAGGAGGGTGGAGATGAATAGGTAGAGCACAGAGGATTCTTAGGGCAGTGAAAATACTCTGTATGATATTATCATTGTGTCTATAACTATCATTATACATTTGTTCAAACCCACTGAAGGCACAACACCAAGAGTGAACCCTTAGGCAAACTACGGGCCTCAGATGATCATGATGTGTCCATGTAGGTTCATCCTTGGTACCAAATATACCATTCTGGTGAGTGATGCTGATAATGGGGGAGGCTGTGCATGTGTGGGAGCCGGAAATATAAAGGGAATCTCTGTACTTTCCTCTCAATTTCATTATTAAAAGAAAAACTAAAACTAAAACTGCACTAAAAAAATTAAGTTAAAAAGAATGATGTTCAACACCACTAGCCATAGGGAAATGAAAATCAAAACCATGATGAGATACCACTTCACATGCACTAGAATGGCAATAATAAAAAAAAAGATGGGCAGTAACAAGCGTTGGTGAGGATATGGAGTCATCAAAACCCTCAAACACTACTGGTGGGATTGCAAAATGGCGCTGCCACTTTGGAAAACAGTGTGGCAGTTATCCAAAATGTTAAAAATAGAGTCACCATATGACCTGCAATCCCACTGCAGGTATATACCCGAGAGAACTGAAAATACATGTCCACACAAACTTATACTCTCCTCCCTTGGGGGAGGTGAGGATGTAAAAAGAGGGGAGATGCATATAGACAGAGAAAGCACTCTTGGACATATGGCTAAATGAGGAAAAATTCATTGGAGAACAATACATATAAAATGAGCCCATTAGAGGTGCCTGGGTGGCTCAGTTGGTTGGGCGTCTTGACTCTTGGTTTTGGCTTAGGTCATGATCTCAGGGTCGTGAGATCAAGCCCCACATGGGGCTCCACATTCAGCGCAGAGTCTGCTGGAGATTATCTCCCTCTCCCTCTCCCTGCCCCTCCTCTCTCTCTCTCTCTCTCTCTCTCTAAAATAAACAAATAAAATCTAAAAATGAGCCCATTCCGTTGGTTTTTAAAGATATTCACAGGTACACACACACCTGTACATCAAAACAGAAGAGAAATATACAGTCAACTGATCATAAATGTTCTCTCTGGAAGCAAGCCAGAGATGCGGGAGGAGGAAGTTCATTTTTTACTCCACAATTTCCGATTTGTTTGCATTTGTGTACATGAAGAATATAACCAGGTTTCTTGGGCAAAGGAGCATTTCTTTTTCTAGGCAAAAGGGAAGGAAAGAGGGAAGAAGCCACTGGAGTTGGGGAGTATGGGAGGTTCTGCAAGGAGCAAAAGAGCATTTCAAGTAGTAGGAACAGCAGGTGCAAAGCTGCGAAGGTGGAAAAGCCTCTGGGGCATTGGGGGGGCTGTTGGGTTCAGCTGCACTGGAGGGTCCAGCAGGGGACCTGGGGTGGGGTATGGGGAAGATGAACCAAAACAGTCCACTGAAGCAGCCAGGTTCTGAGGACCATGGGGACATGGAGGCCCCCACTGTAGTGGAAGAGGCCTGGGAGAGACCGTGGGACAGGAGGGTGGACCACGGTGGGCAAAGAGTCTCATGCCATTACCCAGCTGGCATCTGTCTCACAATAAACTTGCCCTCAACTCCATTATCCACTTTGGCTCAGAATACAATCGTCTCCAAAAAGCATAGCACCCGCCCCTGGTGAAATCTCCAAATCCGAATGGAGAACTCCCAGTGTGTTTGAGCAAACCCTTCTGAGCACAATACTGTGACAGTGTGACCTGTGTCCATTTTAGATCACCAGATGATGACCACGGCCAGCCCTTCCTGCACAGGGGCTGTGACAGGGGTATGCTCTCTGTGCATTAATCTCCACAGCAAACCCATAAGGTCCAGTCAAGCACTGTCCCCATGCACAGATAGGGAAACTGAGGCTTGGAGAGGTTGGGCACTTTGCCCAAGGTCACTCCACTAGTAACTCAATGCTGGAGCTGAGACTGGAACACGGGAGCCCAACCAGCACTTCTACCCCCTCCAGACACATCAGTTTGCCTTAAAGCCAGCCACCGCACTGGATCACCACCCCAGCTTCCAGGAAAATATTAAGCTCAGAATGGAAGATGAATTCAGGGCTTGGGGTTCTAACCACAGGAGCAGCAAATCCCGACCCACAAAGTTATCATATGCTGGCTGGAAGTGGAGGTCGGGTGTCGGGACAAATAACTAACTTGGGCTGTTAAATAACTAGTTTGGTCTTGAGCTAGATGAGCCAGGCAAGGCACCAAACTGCCTGCTTTGTCCTTCAGCTCTGGCCAAGGTCCCCAGCCTCTCTTCCTGGAGCATTCGGTTTTGACCTGGGCCCCACGTCCAGCTCTGCCCTGACTCTCAGGTCCACCCTGGAAAAGTCAGGAGACACCCAGGGAGAGAAGGCAATGGCCTCCTCCCGCCTTGATGTTCCATGGCCAGCAGCGATGCTGGAGCATCCACTTTAACCCCCAACAAATCCTCCCCGTGCCAGGGACTGAGAGGTTGGTGGGGGGCAGCCCCTGCGCTCCCAGAGCTCACATTCCACAGGGGCTGTGCACCAAAGCAAGGCCTGTCGGACATAGTTAAAAGCACCCGATTCTCTTGACATCACTGACTCAATCTTCTGGGAAGATCCCCCTCCCCTTGACCTCCCCTGATACAACTGAACAGAGCTCCAGAAAGACACAGTTGGCAAGTTATCCACCACTTCCCCCCCTCACTTTCCTTGGTCAGAAAGATGGGGATACTGAGAGGACCTGTGCCATAGGATAGTTCTAGCTGATACATGAGGATGTCAGTGCAGAGCCCAGTAGCACATGGCGTAGCCATTCAGATCAACTGGCATCTACTGAGGGCTGCTACATCAGTTCCTTTTCCCCAGAATACTCCATGCATGCGTACACACACACACACACACACACACAGAGCTATAACCGATGAGAATCTGGCATCATTTGAGAACTGGTAACTCTTCATCTGGACCTTTGCACATGCTGTTCTCTCTTCCTTCCATCCCGCCCCACCTTCTAAATAGAAGTGACTTGTAGCCATCCCTTTCTTTTCTTAGATGTCACTTTTTCCAAGAAGCCTCCCTGTCATACCTCTTTTATGCTTTGTTAAGTAATGTCAAATGATCAACCAATCAACCACTCAACAGAGAGAATGGGAAGCATGCATCTCGCGGCCCATGATCCTATACATTTTCATCACTTCATTTTTTTTCCATCAAAGCTTCACTAACTACTTTCCTCTAGGTGGTTTCCTCTAGGTGATGAGGTGCTTGTAACCAAATGACACAAAAGAGGAGGGGGCCCATGGCCAGGACACGTGAGGTGAAGCAAGTCTTACTATGCGTAGAGTTATACTTCCAGCAGTGCCCCGAGGCTCATACTCATTGCCCAGGTGGCGGTTTCAGGAAACATCATCACTCCAGGTCCCTGTGGAAAGGAAGGCATAAGCCTTCTGGTCAACCATGAGAGCACACAGTGCCAAGAGCTTACACCAGCCACGTGCTAGGATCTGGGGAGCAGGTGAGGGAAGTTCTGCCCACACTGACTCACTTCCCCTCCCCCTTCCCCAGTGAGACAGACCATGTCCAGGGCTCAAAAGGAATTCAACCACAACCTTGGGGCCCACATGCACGGAACTATCTTCCCTCAGATATCCACATCCCTCATTCATCGAGGTTTCTGCTCGAATGCTGCTTCCACAGAGAAACCATCCCTGACCTAAACCAATGCTGCCTCCACTGCAGTCACTTGGGATCCCCTTCCCCAGCTTCAGCTTCTTTATTGCACTGACCACACTCTCTGATACTGTATTATACATCTAGTTGTCAATTGTCCATCTCTGCCACTGGGATGTAAACACCACAAGGGAGGAACACTGCTGGTCTTCTTGACTGCTCTGTGGCCAGTGTCAGAGCCCTCCCTCCAGAAGTGATTCTTGAATAAATGGAGTAACAGGGCTGAGCTAAGGGGCTAAGGCACATGTGGAGATATGACTCCAACTAACTATAATCTTCCTCATTTTTTTTAAGAAAAAGTATCCCCATTTTCATAACTGAATGAACAATGTTCACTAAAGTGAAGAAGAAGGCAAAGCTTATCTCCAAACTTCTCCACAGCAGACCCCATTCCACCCACCACACAGGAGATCTCCCATGTAGCAATGTGAACTGACTCAGTTAATCAGAATTGTATATAAAAGCATTTCATTTTCACTCGTTTCAACCTGCTCAACCTGTGCAAAGTAATCTGAATCAGACAATATTTGTACAAACCATTAAGATAAGGCATCCAAGGATGAATTTTTAAAAAATATATCTAGGGCCAGGGCGCCTGGCTGGCTCAGTCAGTAGAGCATGCAACTCTTCATCTCAGGGTTGTGAGTCTGAGCCCCATGTTGGCCGTAGAGCTTACTTAAGGAGAAAAAAAAAGTTCTTCAGCTCACCACACTTCACTCAGTAGATGCTCATTCATTCTGTCACTAGGGAACATTTATTGAGCATCTACTGTGTGCAAGGGGCCAGAATTCAGTGGTAAAGAGGGCAACACCTCTACCCTCTTGAAGTCTACATTCTCCTGGGTGGATGTAGACAATAAATCCATAAATAGATACATGAGTATGACCATTTCAGGTAAGCTCCATGAATAAAATACTATAGGAGAATGTGACAGGTACTGATAGGGGGACAGGCTGCTTTGGACAGAGTGGTCAGGAGAATCTTCTCTACAGAAGAGACATCCAAGCTAAAGATCATGCCAGGCCTGAGAAGAAGTGGCAGAAAAGTGTGCTCAGCAGAAGGAAGAGCATATGCAAAGACTCTGAGGAGTCTCCTGACAATCTGAGCTCCAGTTTTCATGAACTGTATCCCATCCTAATGGCCTCACCACAGGCCAAGAGTCCCTACTCCCTCAGCTTGCCTTCTCCTTTCTCCAGTTGACTTCTTTATCAGGTTTTCTCAAGTTAAGGCAGACCTGAATTTTCCACTGGAAGGTGTGCCCTGAGCAAGGGCACAAAGCATCATGAGTGCACTTTCACCTCTGGGAGACAGAGGTAATGTTGACAACTTGGGCCTGCTCCTGTACAAGGGGTAAGAATCTCCCCACCAGCAGGTCAGAGTCCCCTTTTGTGGGGCGCAGGCCCTTTGCAGAATATGATGAAAAGGGAACTCTCTGGAAAAATATACACCTGTGCTCCAAGCATATCTCATCCACATTTCCAATCTCATACACATTTCAGGAGATTTCTGGAGTCTCCTGAATCAGAACTCCTGTCTGTGGGCCTAACACAAAAAGAAAGAAGCTAAACTGATGCAGGCTCCGCTGATGGAGGGGACAATCTCCTGGAGGTGAGTGAATGGAGGGGAGGGGACAAGATCAGGTCTTTGGGCCCCTTACAACACTCCCCCACTCACAGAGATCAGGGTTGTCAGCCTATCAGGGGGCCCAAGGCCTGAAGGAATTCAAGTGGAACTTTATCCACTCCCCCTCAGTGAGGCAAATATCCAGTCACACCCTAGAGCTTCCAGAGGTTTGAGACCCCCATTTCCCAGCAGTGTCCTTGACAAAGGTCATCTCTAATCTCATATTCTGAGATACATTTTGCAAAAGGCTGCTTAACCACAGGAAACATTACTGCAAAGCCCAAGTGTTTCAGCGCTGAAGGGGACACCACTGTGTGAATAATTTGGGTTCTCAGCCGATGAAGGAGTAAGAGCCTGCCCATACCCACCTCACTGGGGAGTTAGGCATGCGGATGCCCTGTTAGATGTCAGCAATAAAAAATAACAAGAACAACTAACATAAGTAAAACTTAGCCTGTATCAGGCACAATTTTAAGAACTTTAACCTTACACAACCCTTTAGGATTTGTACTATTATCACCCCGATTTTACAGTTGAGAAAACTGAGGCAGAGATGGGTGAAGTAACTTGCCTGAGACTATACAGCTAAGACAAATTCATAGAAAAGCTCTCCTCTTCCACACCCCAGCCAAGAAAGAACGCAGTTATACCTTGTGTTGCACATGAAATGCTTTAAAATAAGTTTCTGCCGGTGCATCCAGGACAACTACTGTTTGGCAGTTCTCACATCTCTGCCCAGTGCTGGAAGCAAGCCTGGTTCGGGCATTAAATGGAGAAAGCGTCCTCTAGGAACAAGTCGCTCTGTTTCAGCAACGTTCCAGTCCATGAGGAGGCTGACAGCGCAAGCGCTGCTCTTCCCAGTGCCCAAAGGAACCCATTTCCACCCGGCTCGGTCAACTTCCACACTCAGAAAATGCTCACCGGTCTCTGGCTTTGAGGCACCGAGATTCACCCTAACCCCCTCGTGTCCGCCTCCCTCGCCTCTATCTCAAGATCCTCTGGCCGCGCAATTTAAAAGATGCAGCCGCCAGCACAAGGGCCCCGGGCGGGCCCGGAACCACGGCCGCCGCCCTGCGCGCTCAAAGCCCGGCTCCTCGCAGCGAAATGACCGGCAGCCCTGCGAGCCACTACCAGCAGCTCCCGACGCGACGCTGACCTGCGGGCGCCCCACCAAGGCTGGAGAAGACACCGAGGGAGAGGACAGGTGGCGCCTTCCTCCCCGGAAGTGGCTCCGGGAACTTTCGCTTAAGAGCTCCCAGGGTCCAAAGTCAGGGTCTCAGGCGCGAGCGGTGGTGGCACTGCCCACCTGCGTGGCGCCCAGGCGCCCGAGTGCGCTCCGAGTGCCCGGGGCCGGAGAGCGCGCAGAGCCCGCTTCGGGCACCGGGACGGGCGGAGGCGACCCGGAGGTGGGGGTAGGGGTCCAGCTCGGGGTAGTAGGTTAAGGCAGGGGAGAAGCCAGCCCCGGAAAGTGCCGGGCCCCAGGGCGTCTAGCGGGGGCGTCCAGCCGGGGAGGGTCTAGTGGAGGGGCGGGGTTCCCGGCCAGCCTCCCTCACTCACCTCGGCGCGCAGCGCTGGCTCGGCCCGGCCGGGCTGGAGAGCGCACCGCGGCGACGGCCGTGGCGGCGGCTGCTGCGGGGGCGGCTCCCCCGGGCGGGGCGGGGGCGGGGCCGGGGGCGGGGAGGCCGGGCCGGCCACGTGGGCGTGAGGCGGGCGGGGGACCCCCGCTGGCGCCTGTGCCGGGTGGCCGGAGACCCGGACGCAGGCACGCCCGGCCGCTGCTCGGCACGCCCCGCCGGGGTCCCTGGGAAGACTAGGAAGGGAGGACGGAGGAGAGGATCCGGGCCGCGGGGCACCCCCTGTTACCTAATCCAGACTCTGGCGGAGAGAATTTACCGGGTCGGAGAAGGGGTGCGCAGCCCGGCCCCCGCTCTCGCGGCGAAGGAGCTGCGGACCCCCCGGGGTAGGCCCGCGGGACGAGCATCGGAGCAGGAGGGGACGCGCGACGCAGGGGCCGCCCTGACGGGCGAGGGCCAGAGCCTGTGCGTGAAGCCTCGCCCCGCCCTAGGCTGACCTGCCGCGCGTCGGGACTTGCCCAAGCCTCGCTTTCCTGGACGGTGGGGGTGAAAATGAGGACGAGACGCGAGCTGTGCGAATCCCCGCGCGCGCGGAAAAGCCTCAGGAATCGCGGGTTTGGGACCCTACGCGCAGCCTGAGAAAGCAGCCGCCGCCAGTGGCCTGGGTCATCATGCGGAAAGAAACATGCGAATCCAAATAAGACTCTTTTCATTCATTCAACAGATAAACGCTTACGGTCCTCAGGACCTCATACAACCAGAAATAAAGAATGCCCTACACTGTCTGGCTCTTACGAAAGTATAAACCGTGATGGTGAAAATGGAAAATTCATTAATAGTTGCTTTCATAGTGTCAGATGTGCGTTTATTTATTTATTTATTTTAGATTTTATTTATTTATTTATTTGAGAGAGAGAGAGAAGCACACTTCCCGCTGAGCAGGGAGCCCTACCCGGAGCTCCATCTAGGACCCTGAGATCATGACCTCAGCCAAAGGTAGATGCTAAACCGACAGCCACCTAGGCACCCCTGGGTGTGCGTTTTAAGTGTTTGATCTATTTTTAACACTCGCAACAGCCTTGTGAGGTGTAGGAGTTTTGCGGGCACACTTCCCAGATGAAGAAACTGAAGCCTGGAAAAGTGAAGCCGGCCCCGAGGTCAGAGGAAAGATAATCAGCCCAAGAATTATGGCTCCTGCCAGGCTGACCCTCTAGTAAGTGGCAAGAGCAGCCTGAGGGGACCTCCTCAGTCTCTAACCACCACAGGAAGAGGGGGCTGTTGAGGGCTCCTTGGGAGGCACCTGTCCTGACAGCAGCCTCTGGGAAGCAGACCTCCCAGCCCGTGACTGGCAGGAGGTGTTCAGAACTGATCTGACAAAGCTGAGACTCTTCATTGCAACCCCTGTGTCTTGTTGCAGGCACACGCCTCCTAGTTCTGGGTGGCCTCTTCCTGGCCTGCATCCTGCCTTTTGGGCCAGAAACGAAGCATCTTGAGCAAACCAGCTTTCATTTCAACAGCTGCAACTTCATTCCACTACAACTTGAAGGGGACTCCTTGACCTCAAACCCAGGGCCTCATGACCCACACATTTCTTGTTCAAGGAACACATACCCTATGCAGTACTCCATTTCTGAGAGCAAAACCTATATCCAGACCCCTAGTCCTCAGCCTTTTCCCCAAAACCTCCTTTGCTGGCCTCTCTCCTACCCCCTCCACACTAGAGAAGATCCCTATGCCTACCAGCTATGTTAAGTATTAATATTAAATAATATTAAGTAATAATAAAGAACTTCCACTCCCCCCCTGAACCCAGAGCTCAGCAGGGGCTTCAGACCCACAAGTCAACACCTGGTGTTCTATCCAGGCAGCATTGCCAGAGATAAAAGTTCTGTTTCCATGAGATTCCATTTAACAACGATTTGAGCATCTGCTACGTGCTATACACTGTGCTGGGCTCCGGGGAACAGTCGTGAATCTCCGTAAGACACACAGTCCCTGACCCCGTGCAGCTCACAGCTGATGCAGGAACAGTCAGACCCCTCACCGGGCAGTTAGGGAGCAGGATGTGGAGAGAGATACACCTGGGGAGGCACTGGCCCTGATTCAGGCAGAGAGACTTCCCGTGGGAAGTGGGCCTCAGCTGAGCCCTGACCAGGCAGGGAAACCAGCCAGGGGGTGGGGGAGAACAGGCGATGCAGAAGCCCAGAGGTGGGAGAGCACAGGGCCCACTTCTGCGGGAGTCTATGGAGAGGAACAGGTGGGGAAGAACAAGACTAGAGAGGCCTCGATGGCCAGGGTGTGACACCAGACCTTGACCATTGAAAGGTTCAGGCAGAGGGGATGGGACCCCACTGCTGCTGAGTGAGGAGCGGATGTAGCAGGGGGAAGTCTCCCAAACACAGCAAAGGCAATGTGCATTATTATTATCACTAAACTCTGTGACTTCCTGTTTTATAATTCAAGGTTTCCAGAAATGAGAACAGAACTGCAAGTAGGATATGTAGACTAAAACAAATCAATGTAATCCCACAAGGGTTTATAGGTGGCAGCCGTCCCCTCCCACCCACGCCATGCTTGGCCCTGTGGAGGGGGGGCAGGGGAAAGGACTTGGCTCCTGGACTCACTTGAGGAGTCTTTTGGGGGAACAAAAGATACACGCAAAGGGAGTCCTTTGGTGTGGGGGTGGAGTGGGGAAAGAATGGCAAGAAACGTGTGTTTCTATGCACCCAGTTTGGAAACTGGCAGAGAGGCCGGAAGACATTGATGATGAACCAGTTTTTCTCCTTGAAACAGTTAGTTCAGGAGGGCCTGTTCTTGAATTCAGCCCCATCTCCTCTAACTCTGCAAGACAGGATGGAATGGGGCCAGGGCAGTCACCTCACTATACTGTCAACCGGGAAAGCCTGGTGTCGGCAAGGGCCCCCACACGGCCTGCAGCAGGGGGCCCCGGCAAGGCGCTGGGTAGCACAGTTGGGGAAAGCGACCACGTGCGGAGGCACCACGGAGGACAAGGGCGAGGATGAGACACTGAGACCCCCCACCCCCACCCCAGCCTCCCAGCGCCCACCCAGTACCATGAGCACGGACTGCCGTGTGTGACCGTATGGTGAAAACACTCTTGATGATGTGATAGCGCTTGTCATAAAACAAGGTAGAGGGACGCCTGGCCGGCTCAGTCAGAAGAGCAAGCGACCCGATCTCAGGGTGAATTCGAGCCCCACATTGGGAGTAGAGATTACTAAAAATAAATAAATAAAACTTTCAAAAACTGTAGAAAATACTGACAGGTTTAAAGAATAGCATAACACCCACCCACAAGCATACCACCTAGCGATAACCGCTGTTGATTTGTGTCCTTCATTTTTCCCTCAACCTACTGTGAGTCTTTTTCCTTTGTCATGAAGTATTCTTCCGCAACACGATTGGCAAAGACCACTTGTATGAACGTGCCTTCTTCTTATGATCGGTCTGACTGATACTTGGTCTGCTCCCCATTTCTCAGTATCCAGGATAAATAATGCTTGGCAATGAAAACCTGTGCACAATAAATTTTGGCACACATTTCTGGTTATTTCTTAAAGATAAACCTGGAAGTGGGGTTACGGGGAAAGGCATTCAACTCTTCTGCAGGCAACACCTTACAGACATACAGAGATCCCTTTTGGAAGGTGTGGAGCATCCAGCTGATGAAGCAACGCTCACCTGGTACAGTCCTCACCCAGGGGGTGGGGATGCCTGTGGGAGGATTAAGGTGCTGTTGGTCTTACTGTTCAGACCTAAGCAATGCTCTGCAAGTGGCTAATAAAAGGTTTCTTTGAGGGGTGCCTGGGTGGCTCAGTTGTTAAGCATCTGCCTTCAGCTCGGGTCATGATCTCAGGGTCCTGGGATCGAGCCCCGCATGGGGCTCTCTGCTCAGCGGGGAGCCTGCTTCTCCCTCCCTCACTCCCCCTGCTTGTGTTCCCTCTCCCACTGTCTCTCTCTGTCAAATAAATAAAATCTTAAAAAAAAAAAAAGGTTTCTTTGAAAACAGACCTTTTCTGTTCTCATAATCTGAAAACCTGAGAAGCAAGCCTGAGCAGTGGAGTGGAAAGACAGAGAGGGGCCAAGTTCAAATCTAACCTGGGCCCTGCCCCGATGTAGGATTCCAAAGTCGCACCAGGAGGATGTGATGTAGTCAAGCAACAGCACGGTGCTTGGCAGAGTCGCAGGCACCCAACCCACGGGGTGATTCTAATATATGCCATGTCGTCGACCAACCCTGTGTACAGGAATCTAGTACCTACAGGGAATGAAACCCTGAGATAATGCAAGTCATTCAAGGGGCTCCCAGCCCTGGGGATCATGGTAAATGACCAGGGACCTTATCTCAATTTGCAAAGTAAGGAATAGATGCGGTTTACTCCTCCAGGAAACCTTTTAAAATTTACTGTTGGGCAGTGGGTTTACTTACTCTTGATGACATCAGAGACAAATATTAACGGTTTTGAGCACCTGCCATAGAGGGCATAGCACCAAGCTATGCCCTCTACCTGCTTTATCCTCATAAGGCAGATGCATTTTTACCCGCACCCAACAGGTGAGGAAATTGAGGACCAGGAAGATGAAGTGCCTTGCCCCAGTGACTACTGAGTGGTAGGACTGGGATCCCAAGCTGGTTCAAGAAGTAGAATCTGAGCCCAGCCCCAAAGGAAGGACTCTGTAACTGACACAGCCCTCCCTCAAGGAGCAGCCATTCTTGTGGGCAAGAGGGCCCATCACATAATCACACAAGCTGAGCTAAGTTCTCCTCAAGGCAGGTGTCAGGACCTAGACCAGAGTGGACTGTGGGGTGGAGGACAGTCAGGGAAGGTTTGGCAGCCAAGGACGGATGAAGACAGAGAGAGAGAGTGTTTCAGGCAGAAGAAATAGTGTATGCAAAGGCCCCAAGGCAGGAACACATGAGTGAGGAATCTCAAAAAATTCTGGTATGGCCATAGAGAAATAGGGGGAGAGGTTGGCAAGGGGTCCGGTCAGAACATCAGGGTTCACTTCCAGGGCTACTGGCAGTTTCAAGCAGGGAGTGACATCTGATCAAGTAGGCATCTCTCATGGAGGTCATTGCCACCTGCCTTTCGGAACTGAGGCCTCCAAGACATAGGAATTCACATCGGTTATTTAGCCCATCAGCCACCCACCCAGGGCCGAGGGAAACATTTAGGGGATCCCTTTTTATTTTATTTTTTTTAAGGTTTTATTTATTTATTTGACAGAGAGATAGAGAGAGATAACAAGTAGGCAGAGAGGCAGGCAGAGGGAGAGGGAGAGGGAGAAGCAGGCTTCCCACTGAGCAGGGAGCCTGATGCGGGGCTCAGTCCCAGGACCCTGGGATCATGACCTGAGCCGAAGGCAGCTGCCCAACTGACTGAGCCACCCAGGCGCCCCAAGGGGATCCTTTTTTAGAGCCGCACCCCCTTAACCTGCCCCAGGTGACCACATCCCCACAGGCAGAGCGGCTTACCGCGTGCCAGGCTCTGTACCCAAACTCCACCTGGCCTCACATTCAGCCCTGTGAGGTATTGACCAATGACCTGTCTTCCAGATGTGGGAACTAAATCCTAACCAAGTCAAGTCACCTGCCAGGGTCACACAGATCTAAGTTCTGGGTGCCTGAGACCAAAGCCCCATTTTATTCACAATGATAAAAAAATTAATACTCTTGCCAATAAGAGTGCACAATTATACGTACATGTGCAGGGTCGTTAAGTCTATCTAACTTCAGGTTCACAAACCAGAGGCAGGACCTGCCCGTTTGCATTCTGCGGGCGGGAAGTGCTCGCCTTCCTTTGCTGCGAGTCCTCCGTGGCCGGGCCTTGCCCGGACTGGTGGGAAGCGTCTATGGTTTGTCTGAAAGCTGACACCTGCTCACTACCTGGAATGTCTCTGACCCAGAGCAAGAATCCCCAGGCAGGACCAACCAGCCCAGAGGACCACTTCTCTGTCTCCGCCCCCTTCAACTTCTAAAAGGCTGAGAATTCCCCTAACCTATTACCGATAGTTAGAGAAGCAATCCCAGCTTTTGTTCACATCTAGAGTAGGGCGTGTCTGTCTGCCTGGCATGGGCTCCTTGAAGCAAGTCTAGAAAAATGTGTCTCAATTGGGGTTGACAGGTGACCAAGAAAAAAGGAGCCTGGTGAATGGAACACGAGCAGATCTCAGAGCCCAGTCAGCTGAGACAGGCTACATAGGTTCAACTACCAAGAACCCTAGCATTACCGTCTTAATTTAATTTTGCCAGGAGCACCTTCCCCTCCCCAACCGCCATCCCATCCTTCCTGGACCAACACCTAATCAGCCAGGCATGGATCCATTCTCTTCTCTTAGGGGATAAGATGCTTAATCTTAGCACCTGACAAAGTCCCTGGGCTGAAGCTCCTATGAGCAGGGAACTGTCTCCCGCCCATCCCATTCTGACCCCCACAGAACCCAAGTCTTGCTTTTCCACAGAATGATTACTAAGTCACTATTTACCAAGCGCCAGGCACTTGCCAAGCACGGCCATGGATGTTTTATAGACCCCACCTCATTTGATCCTCACAATAACCTCCATGCAGTGGGTATTAGTCCTGTCTTGCAGATGAACAAACAGGCTCAGAGCAATTAGGTGTCTTGCCCACACTCCCATATATACAAGGAGGTGGACTCAGGAGGGAAGGGATCATGTTTGCATCTTACCCATTACTGTATCCCCACTACATACTTTAGACTCTGAGATGTTGTGAGAGGGTTGTGTCATCTATAAATGTGAAAACTTGTGCAACATCCCCCCCCCCCCCCCCCCCAGCAAGAGGCTAGGGAGCCAAGCTCACTGGTCTGGCATTACTTTCCATTAATCCCAAAGACCCTATTTGAATTTTGTTTCATTGCAAAAGGTCTTACCTCATGTTGGTGTCCTTCCCTCCTTCACCGCATCCTCTACCTACCCTATTCTTGGACCACTTCTGATTTTGTTCCTGTGAACAGTGAGGACAGGGTATGCTGGAGGTAGGGGTGCGAAACAGACATTTATTGAAGACCCACTGATGCCCAGGACAGCAAAGATGGATTTTTATGTCTCCCTCCTCCATCTGCTTAGCTTATTGCCAGTAGTCCCTTATTCAACTAAAGCAAATGAAATTCTTCTAGTTAAAGCCTGCAAGGGAAGCTGGTCTTTGCTACATTTAAAGTTTGCGTTCCTAAAACAAAGTAAAACCAGTGGCGAGGCCCCACAGACGTTGGCAATTATAAGAACCCTAAACAGCAGTGCCTGGCTCAGTCCGTAGAGCATGTGACTCTGGATAGTGAGGCCATGAGTTTGAGCCCCATGTTGGGTGTAAAGATTACTCTTTTAAAAAACTGAAAGAAAAAGAAAACGAAGCAGGTGTAAAAACAGACTGTTTTCTACCAGTGTGGTAAAAATTAGGGTTTCTCGGGCGCCTGGGTGGCTCAGTTGGTTAAGCAACTGCCTTCGGCTCAGGTCATGATCCTGGAGTCCCGGGATCGAGTCCCGCATCGGGCTCCCTGCTCGGCAGGGAGTCTGCTTCTCCCTCTGACCCTCCCCCCTCTCATGCTCTCTCTCTCTCTCTCTCTCTCATTCTCTCTCTCAAATAAATAAATAAAATCTTTAAAAAAAAAAAAATTAGGGTTTCTCTGCTGTCCAAAAAGGAATCTCCCTGCCTCCACTAATAGGAAAGAATATACTTACTGCATCATCTGCCTAATATTCTTCCAGTTGAGTCTCTTTAGATCTGTTTGCTTAAGCTGTGTGACAAACTCTCAATATTTAGATAAGGGAACCAAGTCACCAAAACTTGCTACCCCAGGTCTTTTCTTCATCCTATAAACTATATTGAGGGATGGTGTGGTGTATTGGTTAAGAGTGAAGATGCTTCAATCAGTCATCTGAATTTCTGTGCTGCTGATTCCTTGCTTGTGCTCTTGGCAAAGCTACCTGATTTCCAGGCCTCAGACTCTCAAAAATTGGGGTGCTAATAGTACCTTGTGTGTTGGGTTGTGGTGAGGAAAGGCACAAGAAGCACTCAGAGCAGGAACTAGAATCCCATGGTTGTCTGTCCTCACTCCCTTTCTTCCACCCACCCAAGGTTATGGGAAAGCTCTCTATTGCCTTTGACCACATGGACACTTCCAAGTCCACCCCTACCTACCTGGACAGCCAGACCTTTACCAAGGGGACATGTGAGCAGCCTAGGCAGGGCTTTGCTGCAGCTTCTATCCCAGCTCTGCCACTATCGAGCTGTGAGATCAGGAGTAAGACAGAGCCTCTCTGAGCCTCAGTGTCCTCACTGTAAAATGGGGACAGTAAGATTAGCCACATAGCAGAGTAACTGACCAAAGTAAATGGGACGATGGCATGTAAAGCACTTAGCGCTCAAAGGTTGGCTCTTAAAAATATGGAGAAATGGCAGAGAGCACAGGAAAGAAGAAATAAATGGGCAAACCATGCAGTCTCCTGAGTGAATATGAACAGGAAAATGACGGTTATGCCAAAGATTAGAGGCAAGAACATGACAGAATTTCCTCCTCTTGGCAACCAGCAGTGCTTCACTTGGAGCTGTTTTTTAACCACTCCGGGGTGGGGTGGGGGGTGGAGGACAAGCAAACAAGGAAAACTCAGTGCTCCCAAGACCCAGCACTTCCACCATAGTCTTTCCAGGCAATGGCTAGGAGGCTTGTATTCTGTGTCCTTGCTATTTCTTACCAATCATTGTCCCCTCCTGGGGCCCTGTCATTTTCAGAGCACCAACTATGTAAACACGTCACATTCACCACCCTGTTCCATTCACCACCCTGTGAGGGAGGGCCTTCGACTGGCCCAATCTAGAGATGAGAAACTGAGGCCCAGAAGTGCAGCCACAGGGTCACTGTGGCAGAAGCAGAGCTGAGAATGGACCCCAAGACATGAACTCACAGATCAGGGGCACACAGGAGGTGAGAGAATATCTATCAGAAGAATGAGAAGGCACTTTAATTGGATGGCAGGACATTTGTGGCTCCCACATTTCAGTGGTTCTTTTCAAAAATTTTTTAAGATATATTTATTTTAGAGAGAGCGAGCAGGGGGAGGGCAGAGGGAGCAGCAGACTCCCCGCTGAGCAGGGAGCCCGACAGGGAGCTCGATCCCGGGACCCCGGGATCATGACCTGAGCCGAAACCAAGAGTCAGACGCTCAATGGACTGAGCCACCCAGGCGTCCTTCTTTTCAAATTTCTGAAAAGAAGGTCCATTTGTTCTGACAGTTGACTTTCTCCTCGACATGAATATCCCTGTTCCTGACTCCACACAGCAATACACAACTGCCCGCCGGAGGGCAAGGCAAATGGTCAAGGCTGCAGGTTTCCTGAGCAAGACGTATTGGCCGCCGTCGCCTCCCCACCCTGGATACCTCTCTTCTTCTCAGAGGTGGAGCCCTCAGAAAGCTGTGCCAGGCACCCAGCTCCTCAGGAAACAGGAAAGATGATGCAGACTAATGAACCACTGCAATCTTGAAACATTTTATTTGGTGCAGAAATTCTAAGGTACAAAAACAACATTTTGCAAATGTCAGCTGTGACCTACTGTCACCTATTTACAGTTATGTACAAATCAAATAAGACATCGTTTTCAATGTAAAAATACAGCACACTGCTATAGTCTGTCAGTGCTCACTATTCCTCCAAACCCCACCAAGGACAATCTTAAAGATGAAACAAAGACAATGACAACAATCACCATGTTCATGTTCCACAGGCTTCCCCCTGCCCAGAACGTAGTAACAGGGAGCTTCTGTAGTTAAAAAAAAAAAAAAGGTGAAAATAGAAGTTACCTACTCTCTAAAAGAACACATGTGGTTTTTACAAAAGTTTTTGCTCTGTCCAGACTCACCATGTTTTTTCTTGAGGAAAAAAACAAAACTTTTAAATAACAGTTACAGGTTAGTGTGACATGACGATAATTTTTTTGTCTAACGGATGGAGAAGCCAACTTTGTCCCCATTGTGTACAAACAGAAAAATGCTTCTTTGAATCTTCTTGACTGAAATTTTATGACATAAACATCAGATATGATCATAATTGGATTGCTTTTGTCAGACTTCTGATTGTGCAAACACAGTGCTGAGTCAATTCAGAGTCATGGCCCCAGCCCTTCAGAACCCAGGAAAGCTCCTGGGGGAGTCTGCGGTCCCAGCCGAATTTCAGGGAGGAACCAAAGAACAGGAGGGGAGGCAACTGGCCAAAATTCCCAAGAGGTCGTCCCTCACTCTCTTTGCAAATTAGCCCTTAGCAACCATTCTCGATCCTGCCAGTGGTTAAACTAATATTGTGAGTCACGAGTTAAAGGTGATGTCTAGAGATATGTAAAAATAGAATCTATAATTGGGAGGGCGGGGGAGCTGCCACTCAGAGTTGGTCTTGAAGAAACTCAGGAATGGCATTAAACACATCAAGAATAAGCACCAAGTGTCTGACCACAAGAGGGGGAGGAAAACATAACAGGCTATTGCTGGGCGGGGGGGGGGGGGGGGGGGGGGGGATTGGATGTGGCGATCAAGTAATCCTCAAAATGAATACAGGCAATATACCACTTTCTAAAAGTGCCACTATAGTTTTAAGTAGTAAGAGAAGCCAGGCACGTGAGGATTTCCCTGTAATCCCATCCTGAGCTTGGCCTTCACAAGGCACCAATGCGAGTCAGGCACCATGTTCTGTTTGCACAACCAAACTGAGCGTGAAGCCGAGACACAGAATAGCAGTGAAAATTATCAAGCCCTTGCAAAACAAGAGCTATGAAGAATGGTTTAAGTAGGTGGGATTATTTACCACTGAAATAAAAACACCAGGGGGATGACTTCACTGCGGTTTTCAAATACACGGAAGGTAACCAGCTGTTCTTTTTCCACAATGTGCAGAACAAAAGAAGGCTGGTTTGAATTTCTGTAAGACGTACAAAGGACTATCTGATCAGCAGGGTAGGTTACTGAATTTCCCTCCCTGAAAATCCAGAATCCCATCCACAGCCATATGTCTGAAATAATTCAGGCTCAGCCCTGGCTGACACCAGCGGGGGGGAAGACATGCTAGATAATCCAAACTTTCTCCCAGCTCCAAAACTCTGAAATTGGAATCCAAGCTATTGGTTTACAGTCAGACTTCCTTTTGTTTACTTCCACCCTGAGCCTGGAAAGGAGGTGACATAGAAAGGATGACCCAACACCCCACGAGGACTCCTAACTGATCTCTCAGTATCAGGAAAAGCTTTTCTCCATATACTGTTTCACATCTCCAAAACAGAGTCAATTCACAGATCATTTCAAACAGAAGACAACGCAAGTGGCCTGGCTCTAGTGGACACTCGGGGATTCCTTGCCCCACTCCCTACAATCCCTGCTTTTCTCATTAAGTCTTGGCTGAAGCGCAGAATTGCACATCGTTTAAAAAATTATTAAGCCAAGAACTAAAACTATAAATACGTCCTGTAGGTTGTGCAGTTTAAATGAAAATTGTTCCAAGTGTTATGTTTTTTAAATTGGAGAACATAAATCTGATTTTTTTTGTTTTTTAAGGTTTTATTTTTTAAGTAATCTCTACACCCAACGTGGGGCTTGAACTTATAACCCCAAGATCAAGAGTCACACACTCTACCAACTGAGCTAGTCAGGCACCCCTTATAAATCTGATTTTGAAATTAGTAACTGGCTTGCCTTTCTCTTAAGGCGCCATGAAGAGTAAATTTTATTTCAGTGGTAAATAATCCCACCTACTTAAACCATTCTTCATAGCTCTTGTTGTGCAAGGGCTTGATAATTGTGAATGTATATTGATAACATACATTCACAATCATATCAGACTTCTTTGGGGGAGCAAGGTGGGGAGAAAGCAATCCAGCCACCAGCTGCATTTAGCAAGATCATTTTCTGGTGATACCAGACATCTGTAATTACCACGAATGCTTTTCATTTCAAACATTACAAGGCAGAAGTGGCAAACTGGCAGCTAGTGGGCCAAATCAGGCCCACTCATGTGTTCTGTTGAGCCTGAATTGAAAAAAAAAAAAAATTTAATTGCCAATACTTTAAAAAATTGTAATTTTTCATATAAAAATTCAGATTCTCGGAGTGCCTGGGTGGCTCAGTTGGGTTAAGCGTCCGACTCTTGATATCAGCTCAGGTCTTGATCTTGGAATCATGAGTTCAAGTCTCGCACTGGGCTCCACGTTGGGCATGGAGCCTACTTAAAAAAAAATCCATATTCTCAGCTTCTCTTGAAAAATGGAAAAATCAGTAAACACTACATGTCCACAACTGACTGGAAGAGCTGCCTTCCTACAGGTGGGACAGGAAGCACTTCAGTTTGCCACAGTCACCACCAGGCCCTATGGTCTCTCTGACACTGAGAAGGCAGGTGGTTGCCATTTATCACACCTTATTTATCATTACTCCTGGCCTGTTGCACTGGTACCCCCTACAGACATCTGCTCTAAGAACAGCAGTCTTCACAAACAACAGAAAACAGAAAAGGCTAATAACCTTCACATTGGTATTGTCCACCTCTCTCCAATAAGGACACAAAGAATAATTCTCCCCTAAAAGAGCCAAATTAGTGCTGAGGCTATTGGGGATCATGGGGTTTTCTTTAAGAGGAGGGTGTATCATTTCTTAGCTTTTTTCTTCCTTTGTTTCTTTTAAAAGTTGCTCAATTCTGAAAAAAGGGCAAGCTCTGAAAATCATGTAACTCCACATTTTTGGAAGGACAGTCTTCCTGTTTATCTGTGCTTAAGTCAGGGAACCTGAGATGAGGGGTTGGTTTAAAAAAAAAAAAGAAAGAAAAAGACATTAGCAGCAATGAAGTAGCAAGACTGAACTCTGATATACAAACATAAATGAACTTAAATTACTACACAGTGATTCCAATGATGTCATAGCTGCTAAAGACATTTTTTGAACTTGTGCTCTGGGACTGTCTTCAGTTATTACTAATGTGTCAGCCAAAGCCTGTCTCATGACTTTAAGGCCCCATCTCATTTTTGGCTCAAAATGCTATTACCTAGCTGGTCACCCAACCCTGGGCCTGGACCTCAATAACTTCCGATTCTTTCTGGAGACCAATGTGCCTCAAGGCCCAGGATTTGGGCCTCTGGAGGACATTCTGCCCCCATTGTGTGGCTGGGCTGGGTCTGTCCAGGTGGTTCTTGTTGCCTGGAGCCAACCTCTGGTAGAAAAGCACACCTTTACTTACCTGGGCTTCCAGCTCCCTGATCCCTCCCCCTCTGCAAAGCTATGTCCGATGCTAAGTCCTTTCTGTAGGGTACTGGTGAGTTAAGATGAATGACTAGCTCCCTACCTTCAACTCCCTTTCAAGACTTGCTTACCTGGTTCCTTGCACCCACCTCCGGTCTCCTGCTCAGAGGACACCGGCTATCTTAGTCACACAATCCTCTTGTTCTCAGGATCACGGCTTTTCATGGAGACCATCCCTATATTCTAATTCTTGTAGCCCCAATTTCTAAAAGCCTGTGATTTGGCAGAACTTTTATCTGAATTCTGTCTTATCATTTCCCTTATCTGGGACAATGTCAGTCAAAGAATGCAGCTCTGCTTAAAACATGTTTTGCCTTAATCTGCAAGGCAACTGTTCTCATTCCCAGCACGAGATGGAGAGGGTTTAAAAAGAAGAAGAAGAGAAACTAATAAGGCAAAACCACCAAGTTGGGACATCTCAACTTAGTCTGCCTTAGGCATTCATACTATGGTTTTGCTACTTGGAATGTTAGAATCTGATTGTGTTGAACATGAGAAACATTAGTACTTAAAAACAGGTATCCAAACCCTAAATCCAAACTAAAACTTTACCTGATTTTTGGTCTACCATATTTTTTCCCTTGCATTTTCATAAGAAGTAAGTTCATTTAGCAAGCTCTCTGCTCACGCTCGTGGAGCTCAGCCAATGCTCCCCCCACCCCCCAGTCCTCCATGCTATGCCGGGGCTCGCTTTCTCACAGATGCCTCATTTTATGTGCAAAGCTGAATATCCTAAAAGTAGCTCCTAGTGGTTCCTTTGGAGCATGCACCGTTTCTTGGCCTCAATCTCTCCGATAATGTTCCAAATGAATTTTCACGTCAGTAAGTTTGGACTGACCAATCTCCATTGCAGAACTTATCCTGACGGCAGAATGGCAGGACAGTCACGTGGGGGCAGAAGCTCTGCATGTGTCCCAGATTCCACAGTGACATGGAACATCTCTTCTCCAACAAGATGCCTGGTTTCATGGGGGAGACAGTTCTGCAGCTCACTTGTCTCCCCTTCAGAGCAGCTGCAGGAAACTCGATGCCGGAGAACAGACAAGCACGTTCTTCTCCCAAGAAGCCGTCAGCTGCCTTTCCAGAACATGGAGTGTGGCATTTGCATCAAAAATACACACACATCTCTTCTTTCCAGCAAGTCTGCAAATCTTCCCTTCCCCACCTGCCAAGCATGTGCTTAGATGGAAAAGTCATGCCCCGTTCCACCTCCCACCCCTCCTTGAGATGTTCCTCAGTATCTCCCTTGATATTGGTCCTATCTGCTAAAGGAATAAAACCCGGGGTCCCCTGTGTGAGTGCTGAGTAAAAGCAGGGTGCCCAAATCCAATAGCACCCATGAAAAAGGTAGAGAAGGATGCTCACAACCCCTCAAGGACATGGGGAGAAGGGTTTCCACAGGGAAGACCAAGGCATCATTACCCACACACCTAATAGACCAACAGGATTTGAACAACTGTTTTCCCTTTTGGAAACAGAAATTCTGTAGAAACATCATTCACAGAAACAAAACATTTACTTTTCCTTCTTAAAGCAAATTCTTTCTCCCTAAGCTCTTAATAGCTATTTTTGGTAGGAGAGAGCACAAGAGACAAATCTTTCACTGGGTGAGTACAACAGAAACACACAGTGAAACATGATTCACAGGCTGGGTTGTTGGGGGGTAGGGTGGGGGCGGGGAGTACTTTAAGATTCAAGAATTCAATGACTTCAGGTCTCCTGTCTTCTTCAGATGCTATTAGAAGAGCACACTCATCTTTGTGACAGTTCCCTCCTTCTCACCTTCTTAAAATGAGACTTATCATTAGTCGAAAGCAGTTCAGCAAAGTAAGCGGCTGCCACCTGCAAACACGGCCATATTTCAGTCGGTCCTGGTCCCTACTATCCTGGACACAGCTTTAGATCAGAAGCCCACTGAAGCATGAACTCCAGCTTCCAGTAAGACAGCCCAGTTGGGTATTCGTCTTTTAAAAATAAACTTCCAGGCAGCAACATCTGAGATACTGCACAGTAAATGGAACCCAGGGAAACTTGGCAGGCAGATCTGGCCCCCACATGATGCCTACTCAGACCGAGAGGCGGTCCCGTGCTCTGAGTTTTGGTGCTTTCTGCACAATGACCAACCTATGTCAGAAAAAACTGTCAAGATGGTCAGCCTGACCCCGCAGCCCCCACCTCAGGCAGCCACGGCACCCCCTAATATGTAAAGACTCATTTTATGAAAGGTGGTCATATACTCAGTTCCCTTCTTGACCTTTAACTCGGAGCTTTTCTGACATCCATAGCACTGTAAATTCTACACCAAAACCAGACAAGAACATCATCCGTAGCAACATGGATTCCAGATAGACTGGCACTTGGTTTCTGTAGCTAGAATGGTACTAAAAGTGCTTCTCCCACAAAGCATTTCACATCAAAGTAGCCAACAGCAAACAGGCAAAGTTTGCAGAGATAAATAAAATCTGAGTGATCAGTGCAGGTATGTTCCTGTTTCTCTGTGCATGTTTCCTCCCTACCTCCCAGAACTGGCTCTGATCCAAGGTCTGACCTAACGGGACAAGCTGCTGTCCGGCCTTACGGATATGCCTTTCAGAGATATCCATATGATTTTAGAAAATTGGAGACTTTGCCAAGATAGCAGGTAGAGGGATGGGGCAAGGAGAGCAAGTACTGGCCCAAATTTCACTCCAAATATCCTTGTCGGAGACCTCAGCTCCAAGTGGACTGCGCAACCAGAGAGAAGAGCTGGGGGACCAGACAGAGGCAGCAGCTAAAGTGGCAATGCTTAGATTCTTCTTCCATTTTGTTACAAAGGGGCGACCACGTGGAGTTCACCAGGGTAGCTGCAGCAACCAGGTTCTGCTTTGCACGCCCCAGAGGCGAGGAGCTTGGAAGGGAAGGCAGGAGGATCCTCCTCACCTAAGGAAAGAAGACAGGGCAAAGCCACACGTCACTGTACTTCACCTGGCCGAGGGCTCAGGCCAGAATGTGGCTGAATCTGGGTTTGGACCATGGGCTTTATGAGTGAGGCAAGCCCCCCAACCAACTCAAGACAGGGCAGTCTCACCCTGCTGACAGGTTCCCTTAGTTGAAGGTCAAGGCTTTGCATGCATGACTCCAGCTAGCCACAGGCACTGTAAGGAACAGCTCCAGATGGCATCCTGCTGGTGCTCCCTGGGGAGGCTGGGCTCTCCTCCAGGGCCCTCTCACCTGGCCTTGTGCGGAGTGAACTGTGATGGAGAGAACACTGTGCCCATCAACCCCAGGATCGTTAAAAGATGTGGCATTGGTACGGGGTGGCAAACACTACAAATCCCAACAAAGATACAGGTCCACAGACGCTCATCCAATACCTTTGGGGCAAGCTCTGTCTTGGTAGCCAGAGGCCTGTGGAGTTCAGGGGCCGGGCAGCTCACCCTAACTTAGCCTCAGTATTCCTACAGCTCACACACGTGAACATCCCCATTGCCTAGAATAAATCGATACTATCAATGGAGTCGTGGTACTTCCCATAAGCTTCATTGCCAATGAGTCCGCACCCAAATTAGAAAACACTTGCATGGATTTGGGAATTAGGGACAAAGGCTGTGGCCTGTATCTGGAACCCAACCCAAAGGCACTCTCAGCAACCACGCGCCTTACCCAGGCCAGAGGAGGACGACACGCTCTCTGTCAGCGAAGATGTTTCTGTCTGATCTGCCGAGAGTCCTTCCATTAGGGGCAGGGACAGCTCCGAGGAGGGCACGGACGAGTCGTAGATGCCCGAGTCTCGAGGCATGTCTGAGGGGCTGGCGGCTTTCCCGGGGTGCAGCAGTGGCCGCAGGACTGAGCCGCCCCCCGGCCCGGGCCCCGCCTCCACGTCTTGGTCCAGGCCCAAGTGTGGGCCCTCCAAGGGCGAGTCGGCCAGCACCCCGGGGATCGCGGCCTCAGCCTTGAGGCAGAAATCGCCGTCGGGCCCTGGTTTGCACATGACATCATTTAACACCAAGCCCGAGTCAAACTTCTCCAACACTGGCTCCCGGGAGTGGAGGGGGGGAGGACGGAGGGGGACGAACTGCTTCTCAAACCAGTCGGGCTCCTCATCGATAAACTGGTGCATGTTGCATATGGCAACATAAAGGGACCGGCCGGACTTGCTGCGAAAGTAGTTCCTTCTGCTCACCTGTCCGGGGTACTGCCCCGGCTCCGGGAGGCCGTGGTCTCGGGAGTGCAGGTGGGAACAGAGCTGGGGAAGGTTGTCCATGAGCTTGTACTTGGTGCTCAGGTCCAGGATGCCGGGAACATCGCCCTCACAGGAATAATCGAAGTAAACGGCGATGAACTTGCTGAGCTGGGCTGAGGAGCTCTGCTTGGCCTGGCGGAGCTTTTCAGCGATGGCCGACATGGCCACCAGGAAGAGCTCCCCCTTCCCCGAGCCCCGGCCACTGCCCTTGTGCTTGTAGCTCTTCTTGTCCACAAAGTACTTCATGCCTTTGGAACACACCACGATGATGAATTGGGACTCGTGGATCTTCTGGATGACCCATTCTCTCTGCCCTTCTCTGCAGAGGCTGAAGTCCTCCCACAGGTCCAGAGCCACCTGGAAAGAGAACACAGACGTCACTCACCTATACAGCCTGGGGAGTCGGGTAACAAAAACAAGAGGGTTACAAGAAGGTCCCATCATTTGTCCTTTAAGTATTATCAGCATTGCTGCGTGCAGGTTCTGGGATGCTGGGATCTGGGACCAGCTAACATTTTGTGGGTGATAGTCACATGCCAGGCCCTCTGCATTGTGCCCTTGTTTCAGCCTAATGTGGGGGCCATTCCTGCTCTCACCGTATGAGGGAAAAGACGGACGCACAGAGCTTCTAGCAACCTGCCAAAGTCCCATATCCCAAGTGAGGCCCTCAAGGGACTTAGAGTGTGCTAGTGAGCCCCTTGAATGGGCACCCTGGGGTTGGTCTATGGCGATGAGTGCAGCAGATCCTGAAGACAAAGCTGGAAGGTGATGATGGATGGGTCTGGGTGAGGGACCCCAAAGCAGGCAGAAAATGGGGCTGAGGTCTGGATGTCAGAGTTGCCCATGATGCTGGCTGACTCACATCCAGACAGCGTGATGGACAAAGAAGACCTCCTTGGCCACTCTCACAGCCCCAGGGTCAACTATGCTGTTTACCAGTCTGTCAATGGCCAGAGAGGAGGGTGGTGGACTGCAGTACCACAGCCACTCTGGTTAGCTCACCGGTGAGTGACTGGCACCTCCCACCGTGACTTCATAGCAGTCTTTGGGGGTCATATCCATATTAGACCTTTAACCCCAAGGAGGTTCCGGGAGCTGGGGGGAGGGGCACCAACAAAGGAAAGAAAACCAGGCACGCATGTGCCCCTCAGAGGGCTTCACCTTCTCAGATCATTTTCATCTGATTCTGCTGAAAACGTCTCTTCGCAGTTTTATCAGCCTCTTTCCTTCTGTAGTTCAGAAATGAATTCTCAGTGGCTATGCCTGAATGGGAGCCACAGTCTCTTACGGGAAAGGGGATTCTGAAATAACTCTCTCTTCCTCTTTGGCTCTAAAGAAGAAGGTCCCCAAGATCCACCCACTTGCTGAAAAGAATCCTGAATTGTCTTATACTCCCTTAATTATCACTAGTATTATACATTCTAAAGGCTAACGGAGAGTATAACCCAAGCATTTCTAAAATGTTCCCATCTTTGACCCAGCAATTCCATTTCCAGGCTTCTAGCTCTGGAAAATCATCAGAAATGAGGCAAAATTGAACTACTGAGATGTTAAGCAATATGAAATAACTCAGAATGAATTGATATTATGGATCATGTGGTTATTTAAAATTGCATGGTGCAGCCACTCTGGAAAACAGTAAGGAGGTTCCTCAAAAAGTTAAAAACAGAACTACCCTACAATCCAGCAATTGAACTACTAGGTATTTACGCAAAGAATACAAAAATACTAATTTAAAGGCTGATGTTTATAGCAGCATTATCAACAATAGCCAAATTATGGGAAGAGCCCACGTGTCCATCAACTGATGAATGGATAAAGATGTAGTGTGTATGTAGATACAATGGAATATTACTCAACTATAAAAAAGAATGAAATTTTGCTACTTGCAATGACATGGATGGAGCTAGAGAGTATTATGCTAAGCAAAATAAGTCAGTCAGAGAAAGACAAACACCGTATGATTTCACTTCCATTTGGAATTTAAGAAACAAAAATGATCCTAAGGGGAAAAAAGGGAGAGGCAAAACAAGAAACAGATTCTTAACTCTAGAGAACAAACTGATGGCTACCAGAGGGAAGGTGGATGCAGGGAAGGGGTGAAATAGGGGATGGGGATGGGGATTAAGGAGTGCACTCGTTGTGATGAGCATTGGGTGTTGTATGGAAGTGCTAAATCACTATATTGTACACCTGAAACTAATATTACACTGTATGTTAACTGACAGGTTTTAAATATAAACTTTAAAAAATAATAAAATTGCAGTTTACATAGAACTTTTAATAGTATAAAAAGTTATTAAATGAAAGGACAGAAAAAACATCCTAATCCACCCCAAATGCAAAACTGAATGCATGAGTTCATCTATGTAGAAAAAAACTGGGAAGGAAATACACCAAATATTAACTGTGGTTCCTCTTTCTCCAGGGTGAGATTACAGACCATTTTTGGAGTCATCTTTTTCAGTTTCGAAAATTCCTAAAGTACTACACTCATAATTGGAAGACATTTTCCCCCTGAGGCTAGTTAGTTACAAAGCAGAGCACATGGGTCGTCTGAAGACTGTGGCACCAGCGAGAGGTTGCAGTTGGTTTTTCAGTACCCATTTGGATCTGCCCATCACCCCAGCTTCAGGTGTCAGCCTTGTAATTAGGTGTTATGGACACTAGGGGGAAGCCTTGCCCCGTGGAAAGACTAAGAAACCTACCAGCAGCAGCATCAAAGCACAAGTAACTTTCATAACACGGTTATTGTACAGTTCTTGCATTGGTAAGAAACACAGTGCGCCTTCCATGAGAGCTTCAAACTTCCCTCTAAAATTAGCACTATGACATTTTAGAAAAGCTACATATTCATAGCTTAACTCAGGAGAACAGACAAGAAACCGGAGCTGACCATTTGAGTCCTTGACACATTATTGTTCTCCCTTCTTAGCAAAACTCCTCCAAAGCATTGTGGAAACCCACTGCTTGATCTTCCATCCTCTCTTTGACCTGGCAAGGCTCACCAAGATGTCTTGAGTGACCAACTTCCCCCGCTCCTGTTGCATGTTCCCAGGATACATGCCATTCCCCTCCATGCAACTGCACAGTCTTCTTGATGTTTATCAAACTTCCTGCCAGGTAGGTGCCACGAAAGGCTTTTGAACAGGAGTCTGAGTGTCAGGGTTAGGACTAAGGGTTAGGAAACATTTAGCGCTGGTGATGGGCAGGACAGACTGAAGGAGGAGTGTGAGGCTGACCCCAATTTGGAAGGGAGCTAGGCACTGGGGGAGGTCTAGAGGGAGGGAGGTCTAGAGGGAGGGAGAGAGCGCTGAGAGCATGGGGGCACATGTCCTGCCCAGGGAGAGAGAAGAGACTTCAGATTCCTCACCTCACAGCCACAGAAGTCCTGGAGGAAGTAGGCAAAACACCGGACAACGTTCATGTGATTCTGGCCATCTTTGCTGGAATAGCAGAGGAAGACCTTCGGCCTCGGCCGGAGCCTCTCCCTGGGGAGCGCCGTGGTGTACGAGGAGGACTCAGAACTCTCTTCATCTAAATGTGAATATATATTTTCTAAATTGGAAAAGAAGATAGGGTTGATGCCTACGAGCAATGCTTTGTCCTGTGCCTTAAGACTCGGGACCTAATGCCATCTTCAAGAAACAACAGTTGATACTCCCAGTCCCCAGCCCCTGGGGTCCCCAATGGAAACAGGACAGCTGATTTCTCCAGTGAAGCAACAAATACCTCGGGTAAGCCGAGAAAACTGCCACTCTGGTCAGCAGAGAGCACCCAGAAGCAGGTCTTGCAACCAAGTGTACCTACCAGACCAATTAAGCACTAACAGAGCTGACCTTTAAAAAAAAAAAAGACAAAAACCAAAAGAAAACCCTTTTATTGAGGTATAACTTACAAAGGTAAAACGCATAAATCTTAAGAACAATCTCAGTAAGCTTTTATCTAAGTATATACCTGTGTAACCATCACTCAGATCAAGATAGAAAAACATTTCCAAGGTCCCCAAAAAGTTCCCTCCCAACACCTGCCTTTTATAAGTCATCAAGCCCTGCCTCTACCCTTACTCATACTTTTAGACTTCATTTATGTTCTTGAATTTACTACCCTGAGTTTGGGAACAGAATTATGGCTTCATGTTCACGGCTCCTGAGGCTAAAAGTCAAGTATCTTAATGGTAGGAACTACAGGACCTATGTGGCCTCCCCGATGCCCATTTGGTTGGGGGCCGGGGTGGGGCGGTGGTACCAAGGGCCCAAGGACTCCCAGGCTCCCTCTGTTGGCCGATGTCTTGCCAACCTGGGGGGAAAACACAACACAAAGAGATACCTTGTTGTTTCTTGCGGCACATCACGGTGAAGAGGGTCGCAAATGCCGAGATGACAACCAGTGGCACAGTGATGGCGACAGCCCTGATGGGCCCCGCCCACGGGGAATGCGCTGGGAAATGTCAAAGACAAGGCTTGAAACAAGCAGCTCAAGTTCAAGGAGAATTCTTTTTCTGCCCCCCCCTTTTTTTTGTTTTTAAAGATTTTTTATTTTTAAGTAATCTCTACACCCAATGTGGGGCTTGAACTCACAACTCCAAGGTCAAGAGTCCCACACTCTACCAACTGAGCCAGCCAGGTGCCCCTCTTTTCCTCTTTTTAAACATAAGCTGTGTAACAGGTTCTGGGAGCCCTGACCACATTTCTCTAGTTAGTACTGGTCTGGTGATTATAAAAGGACTCTTTTTAAAGGGTTGTAGAATACTATTCAACAATTAGAGTTGCTGGGACAGTAAATACTTGTGAGTGAGAATTTTGCCCTAGGAAAACTTGCCTCCCACCACTTTTCTTCCAAGGACAAGTGACTATTTGGTCCCAGCTACACACAGACACACACCAACCACAGTGGCCTCTGTCTTCTAGGCATCGACGTTAGGATGGAAGGAAAGTCGGCTTTGATGAAATATCATTTTTTTAGAAGAGTGAGGCGGGGGGCGGGGCGCAGAGGGAGAGAGAGAATCTTAAGCAGACTCCTTGTGCTCAACATGGAACCTGACACAGGGCTCAATCTCACAACCCTGGGATCATGACCGGAGCCAAAGTCAAGAGTCAGACGCTCAACCGACTAAGCCACCCAGGTGCCCCTGATGGAACATCTTTTAAAAGAGAGGAACTCAAATGCTGTGTTTTGATTTTGTAAACCATGAAGTACAGAAAGTATCAAGTAGCGTGGTCTGCCGTAGTCCAGAGCCAACATTTCACACAGAAAAAAAAACATACCTGGCTTTAAGACATAATGCATCACTTTTCTTGTTGTATTAGTGTCATCCACCAGCTGCAAAACAGAGGATGCTGTATCATTATTTTTTTTTAAGTGATAACATCTCAATTCATTTTTCCACCTGTGGACAGTGGGGGGAAGGAGGAAGGAGAGCTGCTGCCTATGATCATTTATGAGCTGAGACCTGACATTAAATCAGATAAATCTCTGCTTTACCACTCAAACCCCTCAACCTCATCACCTTCCATGAATCAAACGTTGTTCATTCACTGATGAATTCAGCTGGTGAGTTCCACATTCTAACACTCTTCCGTTATAATGGCATCCTACCACTAATTTTACTGGGCCACCATTAATGCTTTCAGAGGGTGTGTCCATTCAAAACCACATACTGCTATCAAGTCGTACAACCAGTGTTTCTCCCAAAATGTTAAGACATGTTGACTGTCTCTGAATAGCAGGGCTTTGGACAAAATTTTTCATTTCCTTTTCGATTTTTGTTTTATCCCTATTTTTGTAGTATGTTTGATACTGGAAAAGGAATCTAAACTAAAAGAAGAAAAATATTATCATTTGCTTGCTTTTTTCAGTGGTATTTAGAACTTCATGTGTACTGATAAAGAAAATGTCAGCAGAAACCTAGAGAAGTATAGGCAGATATAATGGGCAGAACTTTTCCTTTCTGTTTTACTAAAAGTTTTTAGGGACACCTGGGTGGCTCAGTGGTTAAGTGTCTGCCTTCGGCTCAGGTCATGATCCCAGGGTCCTGGGATCGAGTCCCACATCGGGCTCCTTGCTCAGTGGGGAGCCTGCATCTCCCTCTGAATGCCTCTCTCTCTCTCTCTGACAAATAAATGTCTTTTAAAAAATAAAAATAAAAATTTATAAATCTAAATTTTTTTAAAACATATTTTTGTAGTATGACGGTGTAGGAGCCCAGGGCAGGTTGCCCCAGTAGGTACCACAATGGCCTACTGATAAATATTTTGTAATGAAGCTACTGGAGAAAGAAGTAGTGCAAGAATACTCAGACCCTCCCTCTGTCCCCCTGAAAGCAGGAAATAGATCTCCCATATGACAAATACCCTCACTGTTCTGAGAAGTAAAAATGACATCCTTATTGTCTGAGATAGGGACTTTAAAGTCGAGAAAACTGTAGAACAATAACCTTGTTACTTTTTCTAATTTATTACCTCAGCCTAAATTCCACTTAGAATTCCTTACTAATTAAAGCTCCCAAACATCTATTTTTCTTTATCCTGTCAATTCTTCACAAATTTATTATCTCTTTGTCCAAAAAGCATAAGAACTGTGCCTGCCTTTGTCATTTCTTTGGGTTTCAATTTCATTATTGGGCCTCTGTGCACATTCAGTAAGACTCTGGTTTTTTTCACCCCTTAATCTGTCTCACGTCAATTTAATTCCTAAACCAGTTGGAAGAACGCAGGGAGGAAAGAAGGAATTTCTTCCTCCCCTACAAAGGAATACTGTATAGAAATTCTAAATCGTGGTTATGTGGACTACACGGTTTCATAAAAATATTTATATGAAATACTTGAAATACTGAATGAGAAAAATCAAAGACTAATTACATATAAACTTTTTAAAAAGCATGTTAAGGACCACGTAAAAATATAACTGTGCACACCCTCAATGGCTTGAAATTTTAGTGTTGTAAACAGTTGAAATTCTTCATGAACTAGATTCATTCTGTAGAATTAATAATAGGGCTTTCCTGAGTTATACATACCTCAATTATATAATCCCCAGGAGAAACATTCTGAAGGAGGCAGCTGGTTGTCTCTGTATTTTGCTCCTGCAAAGAAACAACACAACACTTTTAAAACTCACTTCTTGGATAAGGGTCATCTGGACCTCTCTTTTCCCCCAAAGCTGAAGGAGACTTGCCACCAGTCTTGACCATGTTCAGAATATATCAATTAGATCAGAAAGCAACCATATTTATCTGCTACACATGATCTGAACTTCACTCTGATAAAAAGGCCCAGGAGAGCCCAGGACCTCCGTCATAGTCTATACTTAGTTAGTGGCACCCTCAGCAGGACTATTTCATTTGCAGACAAAGAAACTATTTAGAATACCCTTTATTTATTGAAAGGGTGAGGAAAGAAATTACCTGCCCATGTTTGTGCATATTTTATGTGCCGTAATTTTGACTTGAGGTCAATGACAGAGGTGAGAGCCTACAGGAAAGCAAAATTCAACAACACAGAAGCATGTCTAGGAAGATGCTAGCTTCTACTCTCATGACCAAAAACCTCTCTTGGTGCTTGCTGAGGCCATCTAGCTAGCAGCCCTGTGCACTTCCACAATTCCCCCTCTTGTTGACCGCCCTCAGTTTAAGAACTTGGTTGCTGAGTTTCTACTTAACTTTGGTCTCTGTACAATCAGTAAGCCACTGAAATCCTAGTGGCTTAGCTCCTAGATGTGGTTTTTCCACTGACTAGCTGTGTGACCTTGAGCAAGCCAGGTGACCTCATGGAGCCTCAGGTCGCCCATCTGTAAAGTGGGGCGACAGCAGCCTCTGTTGCATAGAGTTGTAAGGATTCAGTGAGAATAAAACTTGGTGACTGGCACACAGTGAGCACCCAATGAATTTTTAAAATAGAGCGGAATGAACTAGAAATACTTAATTCTTTTGGTTCCTTGGTAATACCTTTCCCAGGCTTCATCACCCTTGGGATAGCTGGGGTGTAGATAACTGGAGAGTGAGAGTTGTCTCTGAGACACAACATTTTGGAATATCTACCAACTGCTGAGATAAAGCCTCATGTTCATGTTGAACCTCCAAATTCCGGGCCCAGGGGTCACTTTAAAACATCTAGTAGGGGCGCCTGGGTGGCTCAGTCAGTTAAGCGTCTGCCTTCGGCTTGGGTCATGATCTCGGGGTCCTGGGATGGAGCCCTCATCGGGCTCTCTGCTCAGTGGGTAGTCTGCTTCTCCCTCTCTCTCTGTGCTCTCTCAAAAAAAAATAAAATCTTTATTTTTTTTAAAAAAAGATTTTATTTATTTGAGAGGAAGAATGACACAGAGAGAGAGCATGAGAGGGGGGAGGGTCAGAGGGAGAAGCAGACTCCCCACTGAGCGGGGAGCCTGATGCAGGACTCGATCCAGGGACTCCAGGATCATGACCTGAGCTGAAGGCAGTTGCTTAACCAACCGAGCCACCCAGGCACCCCAAAAAAATAAAATCTTTAAAAAAACAAAACAAAAACATGTAGTATTCCTTAATGTACACATAGCAGCTCACCTGTTTACAGGTCTTTCTCTTGAAAGGCCCTTCGTGCTTGAGCTTATAGTGAAGATAGAAGAAACGGAAGCCAAAGGTGTGTGGCGCGTGATCAAAGGACACCTGCATGTCCAAACCGTGCTGAGTGATGTTCAGGTTCCGAGGCTTCCAGACTGGGAGGAGGAAGGACCCGGAATGAGCACCCAGAGGCCACCCTGACCCCACCATGCGGGCCAGACCTGATGGACGGGAACAGCTATACTTACAGGGCTTACAGGCCAGGTTGTCCGGCTGTAGCAACAGGTCACAGGCTATGAAGAAAGACACATATTTTTTACTTTTAGTACAGTTTGGCATTTTCCTCATCCAATAGTTCAATAAAATACAAATACACGGTGCTGGGTAGTGTTGGGAAAAGTATAAAATACATCAACTCAGCAATTCGGTATAGTGTAGTTACATCTTATGAAAATTTAAATTGTACAACATAAAAATATGAATGCAGTTCATTTTACCGCCAGATAAATGGAAACAGTGTTAAGTCACCCAGACGCTTGAAGCTTGTCAAGCATGACAGAGGAGTTTCAAGGCCAGCAGCCAAGGGCAGCAGGACTGTGTTCAGGCTGCTACCACAGGGAGGCTCTGGTTTAGCCGTGAACAGAAATAAAGCCAGCCCCTTATCCACTGTACAGGGCTTGAGGCCCAAGAGAACTCTGGAGTGATGCTGGTAACTGTCTTGGGATTGTTGTAACCTTTGCTAGCAAATGCTCTGATGGAGTCTAAAAATGGCACGGAGACAGACATCTACTAAGTAATAGCACCAAAGCCAACAGGGCTTTGAAGCAGGGCTTACACGTGATGCTAACACAATGAGGCCAAACAGCCAGTCCAGGATGCCATGCTGCTCACCCAGGGAGAGCCCTCTGGCAAATGTCCATCCAATGTCCAATCCAATCCAAAGAAAAGCAAAGGCAGCGTCAAAATCACAGGGCACCGAAGTGGTGATAACGGCATCTCCCACCTCTGCCTCACCCCCAAATAGACACATTGATTCTGACGGGAAAAATTAATCTTAAATGACACTAGTCCTAACGAAGGCAAGCTTTTCATAAACATATCTGAATCCTCTAATTGGTTATGTGTCAGGCATTGAGATGTTGTAAAATGCACCTAGTCTTCACCCTATGGAATCCTATTTTAATTAAGAAAATGAGACCAACTGTTATAAAATAACTTTGCTGCACAGAAAATAAAGTTTAAAAAAAAAGTAAGAAAAGAGAAGAGAAGAGAAGAGAAGGGAAGGGAAGGGAAAGGAAGGGAAGGAAAAGGAAAAGGAAAAGGAAAAGGAAAAGGAAGGGAAGGGAAGGGAAGGGAAGGGAAGGGAAGGGAAGGAAAGGAAAGGAAAGGAAAGGAAAGGAAAGGAAAGGAAAGGAAAGGAAAGGAAAGGAAAGGAAAGGAAAGGAAAGGAAAGGAAAGGAAAGGAAAGGAAAGGGAAAGGAAGGGAAGGGAAGGGAAGGAAACGAAACGAAACGAAAGAAAAGGAAAAGGAAAGGGAAAGGGAAGGAAAGGAAAGGAAAAGAAAAAAGAAAAGGCAAAAAGAAAACATGTCCTGTATGTTTCTGGAGTATGAGTTTGAGTTGAGTATGAGTTCTGGAGTTGAGAAGAAAAACATCACAGAGGGGGAGGATGGCTATGGGGACGTAGGAAGGGCTGTCACAGTGGACTGCCAGCTGACCATCGGGGGCCTGGAAGGCCAGACAGAAAGCCCAACTAGGAAGGCAAGAGGGATAGCTACAGGTTCCAGGACGCCTGGGCACCAAATCTGAAAGCAGGGATTCAGGTTGAGGAAAGACCCACCACACCGCATGCAGAACAAATGGCAAAGGGAACTCAGCACAGTTGGCTGCAGAGTGTGGATTCCAGAGTCAGAGTTCTGGGTTCAAATCCCAGCTCACCAGAGGCTCTTTACCCTCTGGGTGTGTAATTCCACATCTAATAAGTGGACATGGGAGGATTAAATTCTTCGAAGGTTCGTTATGGGGGTAAATGGAGTCAGTATTTAGAAAGCATTTAGAACAGGGCCTGACACACAGATGTTAAACTTTCTAGAAAGAGGCAATCGCAGGGTTACTGATTAACTGTCTTAATGTAGTCCTGAAAACAGGCAATCACAGAAGCCACTTTCCTGATGACAGGTCAAAAAAGATGGAATTATTTCATGCTCTACCCTTCATCTCCAAAATCAACTTCTACTTTTTAGGACTGCTTTTTTTTTTTCCAAATGGTTTTAATATATGGCTGTCTTACAGCAGCTGTACCCCTCCCTCCCCCCAAAATAAGCAAGCATCATGTCTACTCTTGAACAAGTTGGCAATTGGTGTCTCTGGTTAGGTGTACTCTGCCTAGGCCAAATCTTAATTCTAAGAATTGCTTTTCTGGATGGTTTTGTCCTCGTCATGCTGGTTTCATACCAGTATTTGGTGGGCTCTTGAATATATTCCTTGGAAAAGTCATTAGGATCAGGAGCAGTCTCATCATGGGAACCAGGCAAGCAGGCCATACTCACCACGGGTTCTGAAGAAGAAAGGGTGGTAATTGCTTTCATTTTTAATGGAAGGAAAAGGGACAATCTTCACAAAGTAATCTGTTTCAAATTTCATACTCAGGAAAGGTTGAGATTCCATTCCCTAAAAGGGAATAAAAGCAGACACGATATCATGAAGAAATCACCCACCCCTCCACCTACACGCCAGACCTTCAGGCCTCTCTGACGGTCACCCACACACTCTTCCAGACCTGGGGTCTATTTTCTGGACCACGTTTAACTGAAATAAAAGATCAGCAGGGCTGCCTGTTCTTTGGCAAGGAAGCCATGGCTGGTTAACACGGACCCTCAAAACTGGTGGGGAAGAGCTCACATACTCTTGAGAGCACAAAGCCACCTTCCAGGACGTGTAACCCGAGAGGTGTGTTTACCAGCGAGAGGTGCTGGAGGGATTCTCTGGGTGTGGAGCAGGCTTGAGGTGTTGCCGAGCTATTTCTCACCCACCTTGGCAGGAGGGGTGGACCCCACAGCCCCTCCTTCTCCAGTTTCACCGACATTCAATAGACCATTCAGACCCCCAGAACAATGGCGTGTCTTCAGGAGCACATTCTCTGCGTGCGACTTACGGTTCTTTTGAAGCTACTGTTTAGCTGCTTTGGGTCCTTTAGAATCAGTTGTTGGCACCGTCTTCCCTCCGACTTCAGCTCCTCCAGTATTACTCGAAATCCTTTTAGGAATTCGATGCCTAAGCAAAGCAGAATGCTTTTATGAAAAGCGGACCGAATTACCTTTGAACACACTTTCCTTCCTTTGCCAAGATTACCGTCCTTCCCACCTACATAGCAGAGTTAAAGGAATTCTAACTTTGGCCAGAATATCCGAGTTTTACAGAAAGGAAAACCACATGCCCTGCATTCCTCTGGGACAGGCCAGGTGATTTTCTCTGTCCCATCATGACTCGTTAATTAACTCTAATTCAGCCAGCCATTTCACAAATGCCCACTGCCTCTGTGACATTAGGGTTCAAATAGTTAAGCTCAAGTCACAATTCATCCTAAAAGTCTAGAGTGGAATATATTAATTTCAAGGTCATCAGACAGGGTGTATTCAGCTGACGATAATTCCCAATGCTGACCAGGAACTCCCCCCAAACCATGTTTCTGCTTTAAGTTTTCGTCCTGTATTTGCTGGCATGGTTCACTGAGTCATGCACAAAATTCCCAACAAAGTGTATGTCTGCACCCAAGGGGTTCCTAGGCTTGAGATTAAATAGTTTAGAATGCCTATGTGATTTACAAAGCAGTTCTTGCTCTAATCAGGCCTGAAAGGCAGACACCCAAGGGCTGCCCAGCGTGTGCTCTTCATACAGCCCTCAGAGGCCCCGAGACGCCCACCGTGCTGCTGAAAGGCGACGGCCCAGCCTCCTGCCACCTGAGGAGTAAGCTCCGCTGATCACAAGAGCCAGCGCCAGCGCTCTGCATCCCATGGAAACTAGCTAGAGCGGTCCCACTGCAGCTGGAGATCCCCAAAGCCGGCCTCAATTGGCACGGTATCGATTTCGCATGCTTTCTGAATGCTACACAAGGGGACAATTTCAACCCTTGCCCTCGTAGCGCAAAAGTAATGACATAGGATACATTTAACCAGGTGGGAAAAGTATTGATGGCAAAGGACAGGGAAATCTTTTTTGAATCCTATCATTATTTGATGAAGAACATATATTTTCCAGTGAGTAGGGCAAAGGAGTTACAATGAGAGCTTCACATTTTCGGGGGTCACAGTGTACAATGTGCTGGTACCGACTCTGCCACATTGCATTTTTTTTTTTTTAAGATTTTTATTTATTTATTTGCCAGAGAGAGAGCACAAGCAGGGGGAGCACCAGAGGGAGAAGCAGGCTCTCCGCCGAGCCGGGAGCCCGATGCGGGGTTTGATCCCAGGACCCTGGGATCATGACCTGAGCTGAAGGCAGACGCTTAACGGACTGAGCCACCCGGGTGCCCCCCACATTGCATTTCAAGTACAAAGCTTCCTGTGTGGGTGAGAGCCACCTGACCCCCAGCCCAAGACTCAGACATGCTAACAAGATCCAAGGTCTTTGACCAGCGACCAGTTAGCAGATCTCACAGGAACTTGCCTTCTGAGATTAAAAAAAAAAAAAGTTGAACAAATCCTTATTATTTATACCAAGATTTAATTCATGCCATGTCCCCAGAGCTCCTGTTTAACAAAAGCTGGGTGATTAATAGGATTCAAGACTGTGTATCTCACAGTTTCATAAAAATTCATCAGCTGAGGTGGGAGTGGGTGGTTCTAGTCCTTATTTTTAAAAGACCTGCCTGAAAAACGTATGCCAAGTCTGGATGGGGTCGGGGTAGAAGCAGCAAATGTAAATCTTTTTTTTTTTTTTTAAGATTTTATTTATTTGACAGAGAGAGAGAGTGCAAGCAGGGGGGCAGCAGAGGGAGAGGGAGAAGCAGGCTTCCCGCGGAGCAGGGAGCCTGATGCAGGGCTCGATCCCAGGACCCCAGGACCCCGACCTGGGCCGAAGGCAGATGCTTAAGCAACTGAGCCACCCAGGCACCCCAAGCAAATGTAAATCTTAAAGTAACACTTTATCACAATACCCTGAATGAATGCCTTATAGTTACATGTGTAGCAACTTCATAGAGCAGCTTCCAATGATGGAACTTATTTGCTCCTTTCCATCATTTAAAACTGGATGGGGGCGCCTGGGTGGTTCAGTCGTTAAGCGTCTGCCTTCGGCTCAGGTCGTGATCTCAGGGTCCTGGGATCGAGCCCCGCATCCGGCTCCCTGCTCCGCGGGAGGCCTGCTTCTCCCTCTCCCCCTCCCCCTGCTTGTGTTCCCTCTCTCGCTGTGTCTCTCTCTGTCAAATAAATAAATAAAATCTTTAAAAAAAAACAAAAACAAAATAAAACTGGATGAATCCTCCTAACATCCATGGGAGGAAGGTATTATCCCCATTTTACAGGTGAGGAAACAGCTATCAAGACACTGAACGACTTGCCCAGGATCACACAGGAATTAAACAGCAGATGTGGGATTCAAACCCCAGAGTGTCTGGCTCTAAGCTGGTGCTCTTAACCCATATGCTTCTCTGTCTCCCACCGAGTTTCCTTGATAAAACCTGAAAGAACCTTATAGAAACAGATAGAACCTGTCCACCCACAAATCATCGTGCTGGAAAAGCACCACATTCTGCCCTCACTGCTCCACCTGTTAGTTTTCCAACCACACGCTCACATCCCTTACTTTTAAGGAGCCTGCAATTTGTCAGGCCAACCCCTCCACTGTATAGCCTTACATGGAATGACCACTTCCCGTTTATCCACAGAGAATGTTTTTATCTTTAAATGTTAAGATAATGTTATTTTTGGAAAACCCGCTGCGTTCAGACCCAGCAGTATTTACATGGATAAGTGAGTTAGTCCCATGGGTCTGATCTATCCTCCCTCACTCTGCACTCACCTCTCCTGCAGTCAGATTTTTCTGAGATTTATCCTGTTCAGATGAAGAAATCCAGGCTTTTATTGTACTTTTCCCTTGGCCAGATTTTTTTTTTTTTTAATTCTAAGATTCAGTGGCTATGTCAAAGGAGCAGGTTTGAGGACCAGGTTCTGATGATGGTAACAGGTAGCCACTTCCCCCCCCCCCGTTTTGTTTTTTTCTTAAAGATTTTATTTTAAAGTAATCTCTACACTCAATATGGGGCTTGAAACTACAACCCCAAGATCAAGAGTCACATGCTCCACCGACTGGGCTATTCAGGTGCCCCCGTAGCCACTGTTTTTTAAGAGCTCTTTCTAGGGTCACCTGGCTGGCCCAGTCAGTGGAGCAGGCAACTCTTGATCTCAGGGTCATGAGTTCAAGCCCCACATTGGGTATCAAGATTACTTAAGTAAAAACTTTTAAAAAAAGAAAAAAGCTCTTTTTAGAAATACACTGCATGTGTGTGTGTCAGGAAATCTTATAACCAACCAAGAGGCAGTCATCTGCCCGTTACAGATGGGGAAGCGGGGCTCAGCAAGGGTTAGAGGCCTCTTGTAAAAGGTAGAATCTGGGTTCACACCTAAGCCCATCTGAACAAATGGGCCCTGCCCATGTCCCACTCCCAATTATCCCATCCAATCATTAACTTAAATGATTAAGTTAATTAAAGAGGACAAGCAGACTCTGCCCTAACCTGAATCTGGCCAGATAATGTGGATTTGCTTTTTCCTGTTTCTTCATTTTGTTTTTTTTTTTCAGCCTACATAGTTTAAACAAATTCAGTTAGTTGGCAACATTTAAAAATTGATTTTATGGGGGCGCCTGGGTGGCTCAGTCAATTAAGCGTCTGCCTCCGGCTCAGGTCATGATCCCAGAGTCCTGGGATCGAGCCCCGCATCGGGCTCCCTGCTCGGTGGGGAGCCTGCTTCTCCCTCTCCCACTCCCCCTGCTTGTGTCCCCTCTCTTACTGTGTCTCTCTCTGTCAAATAAATAAACAAAATTAAAAAAAAAAAAAAGAAAAAGAAAATTGGAATATTCCTGAAAACTCACAATATGCACCAGTGCTGTGCTTGGGTATCTTTTTGGGCACAGAGATGGCCGATGCTGGATGCTGAGGCCATTACATCCTTGGACAGCTCACCTGTCCCCCGACTACTGCTGAGACCCAGAGGCCAAGCATTCAATGTGATTTATCACCACACACTATTATTTTGCAAACCTACATCTCTCTCAGTAACAGCCAAGCGAATAAAAGATGGGCCGTGAGGCCCAGCATCAAGCTGCGTGCATGCCCAGCAAGTATCCGCACCAAAGCAGGCAGTGTTTCTGGGCCGAAGCCCACCTAAGCTACACTTATGTCAAGACCTGCCTGGCTCCTGGAGGTTGTCACACTGGGATCCCTGCACTGGTCACCACCCACACCAGCCACGTGGTGGACTCCATTTTGACCAACTTACCAAGAGCCCCTGGGGACCAAAGAATGGTGACTGCCACTTGGTCGTGGCAAGCGTACTGACTGATGGTGATGTTCTGGGCATCAGCAATCACATGCTTCCCCACTGGATTCAAGTAAGTGGTGCAGTCTAGAGAGTTGGGAGAACAAAGAACAGTTAGATTAAGACATTTATTTTTTGAGGTCCGCGTTCATCTTCTCAAATTACACAGAGCCGTCTGGAGGCGGCCAAATCCATTCTGTCTAAAGACGTGTGCTGCATAAGCCCAAATAGGACATCAAAGATTGACTGTTGGGGAAACTGTAAGGTGCTGTAGTTGGGGCTTATTTAAAGCACTAACACCACTGCCCACCCTTTGAGTTCAATTCTAGGACAGCATGAGGAGGATCATATATGGTGTGGCTATATATGTTTATACATAGACAGTTTGACTATGTATCTGGCATTGACTTCTTTACTATTATGACACTTTACCTAAATCAATAATTATTTACATCGATTCAATTGGTTTTCAGCATTTGAGAGTGATCTGAAACAAAACAAATGGCTAAATAGTCTGGGGCTTGCTTTAAAAGAAACCTGGAGGCCAGGTGAGCAGGACAAGGCAGCAGGATGCGGATGGGACTCACGGGGGAGCGGCTCACAGTAAGCCTGTTAAAAAATCCTATTAGTACCTACAAAAGACTGACTTCATGATGAGCGAAGTACCTTCAACATTAATAGCATCTCAAAGGTAAAACTTCTGTTCCCGAACACCATGTGTTAGCAAAGACACCCGCAATGCCCACCAAATTCAAGAGCTCCACATTGCTCAAAAAATGAAGACCAATTCTCTGATACTGTCTGAGGACATTACTTACAGCCAGGTGTCAAAGCCACCACAACCATGTGAGCAGCTCTGACACCTGGTATTGCTAAAGAAACCTTCAAAGTCTACAGGATCCTAAAAAACTGCCAGAAGCTTCCAGCCAGACTCGGAATGGGACTCCAGAGAATGGCCGTGAGCTGTTCTGGCCACTCATACAGGGAGAACCACCAGCCATCCCTGGCAAATGCCAACTCATGATTCTTACACTGCTTCATCTCCATTTCTTTCTCAATGATTAAAATGGAAAACTCTTGTTGGTATCTGCTGCAAAAAGTCCTCAGTTCCATCAAATGTCCAAACCGACTCATGATGCCTCCAAAATCAGGGTGTTTTACTTTGAGGTGAAGCAGTCAGGGGGATTTTCTAGGTTCAGTGAACCTGCTGCACTCCCCCTGCCCCTGCTGTACATCACACCACACACTTCCCATTTTTTTTTAAAGATTTTATTTATTTGAGAGAGTATGAGAGAGAGCACGAAGGGTGGGGGTGGGGGCAGAGGCAGAGGGAGAAGCAGACTCCACTGAGCAAAGAGTCCAACTTGGGACTTGATCCCAGGACCCGAGATCATGACCTGAGCTGAAGGCAGGCGCTCAACTGACTGACCCAGGTGCCCCCACATTTCCCACTTTTATGACTAAAAACGTTCCCTGGGTATTTGAAAATTACAAAAGAACATAAGAAAAATGTAGAAGTCATCCATGCCCTTCCACCACACAAGTAACTACTATCAACTTCTAAAAAACATTCTTCCAAGCCTTCTAATGGGCACATAATATTCCTCCTTTTTAACTTTCTTACTACAGTTCAACACACACGCACTACAAGGCACCCCCCCCCCCACTTTGGTAACTCCCAGCTCCCACACTGCCTTGGGCCCTGCTTTCTTGCCTAACTGCTCTAGGTGGACCCCATTCCATAAACTCCATCTGCTTATAAAGCAGCCACCTCTACATTTCAATATTACTTCTTTTGAAAAGATGTTAGGGGGGCGCCTGGGTGGCTCAGTCGTTAAGCGTCTGCCTTCGGCTCAGGTCATGATCCCGGGGTCCTGGAATCGAGCCCCACGTTGCTCAGCGGCTGCTTCTCCCTCTCCCATTCCCCCTGCTTGTGTTCCTGCTCTCTCTCTCTCTGTCAAATAAATAAATAAAATCTTTATAAAAAGAAAAAGATGTTAGTAATCAATAAAACCAAATTCTACATCTAATGAAAACTGACTATCGAAACATTTAACATGTGTTCTCTGGGTGCAGAAGAAAAAATTTTCTTTAAATATCTGGTTTAACACCCACATTGTACAAATGAGGAAATGTTTTGCAGCTAAGAGACCAGCTGGGTGGCTTCAGATTCCACTGCTGACCAGCCCCGGGTCAGGACAGAAAGCAGCCTCGGATGGCTCATGCGTGGCTCTTGCCATTCTATCCTCAGCACAGAGATTACTACCATAATAAGTTCTGAATCAGAGGTAGTCAGCCTGCAAAAAATCCTGGCTGAAACTAGCTTCCCAATATTAGAAAAAAAAAAAAAAAAAAAAGACAAGATCCCATCATATTCGTCAAGTTCAAACTTTTTTTCTTTTTTTAGATTTTATTTATTTATTTGAGAGAGAGAGCATGAGCAAGGGAGGGGCAGAGGGAGAGGGAGAAGCGGACTCCCCACTAAGCAGGGAACCTGACGTGGGGCTCAATCCCAGGACCTGAGATCATGACCTGAGCCAAAGTCAGACCCTTAACTGACTGAGCCTCCCAGGTGCCCCAAGTTCAAACATTTCCATTTATTGAAACCTCTGCCTTAAACAGCTTTTAGGAAAAGATGCACGAATAAGAGCAAATCATGTTTTTTTTTCCTCTGTTCATTCCTAATGCCAAAATTAGCACTCTCCAGGTTTCTGTAAATATAATTATGCAAATATAAAGTCTAAGAATTAAGAAAATGTATTACAAAACCTACTCAAGCATTACCCCCTCAGAGCCTGAAGAAGAAACGAGAAATGCAACATGAAAGGAGACATGGAGACCTATGAAATTCACTTTTGACTTAATGGCAAGACATTTTCTTTCTTTGTAACATCCAATGACAAAGGAGTAGAAAAATAAGATTTTATAGTTTTGTTTTGGTGAAAACTTCGTAATTTGTTCTTAGCTATTTCAAACAGAACTGGTAACCAGTCAACAGAGCAATAACAGAAACTTCCTTGTGGAAGAGAGAAAGAAATATCTTTTTAATGGAAAACAATGAATAAATTTTTTACACAAACCTGGATCCAATTATTAGGAACTCTAACATTTTGGATTCTGGTTACCAAAAAATTATGCCCAAATGACATTCTGCCAAAATGCAACCGAGCTTCAGATGTCTCGGGAGTCAATTCAAGTTGAGAATTAAATTCTAATTAAATGCTGAAGAATAAGAAAGAAAATAATGACTAAGAGACAGGCATCAAGCACGTGGGCCAAATATTTAGTCCCATGAAGAAAACAATAAGATACTTTTAAGTTTTACAGGTACAGATCCTCTTTCACAAAACCCCATATTAAATTAGAGCTGCAGATACTTGTTTGCAGCTGACCAGAAAATTTTGAACTCTTGAATGTAATACAAGATCTGCCAGGACCAAGAGCATATATTAGAAATTAACTTTGTAGCTCAAAGAGAGATCTCTAACACATGTCTTTACTTAGCTGAATTAAGTATCATGGACTTGCAAATCTTTCATTAGCTTTGTAACATTTACCCAGAGAGCATGCACACACCACGAACATGAAATATCTGTTTCAAATATAAGTCCTCATTGGTTAACTTAAAGTACTCACGTCAGCAACTGTGGGCATAAATTTGACACACATATTTGTATCTTAAAATTATTAGATTGTATACACGACCTCAAAAATCTTGCTTTAGCAAGATCATTTCAGAGGCCTCACTGTGACCCACAGCCATTACTTACATGGATTCATAATCCTCTCCAAGAGATGAATCAAATGTCAGGAGTTACTGAACAGGAGTCAAGCTCTCTCTTGTTAACATTTTTACGTATAAATTATGGCTCATAAGGCTAAAATGCTCACAATTCTATATAATTACCTTCTTAGCATGAAAGCAGCTGCTGAGGGGGAATTCTATATGCTTAATCAGAAAAAAGCACCCCACCCTGCCCTTAGGAAACAACTTAGCCAGATAAAGCCACACTTCCTTGAGAGAAAGGACCAAAAAGATGCTGTATTCCAATTCCGGTTGGAACGACTTCTACTATTGGCAGATATCAATTACTGACTACTATTGGCAGATATCAATTACTGAGTGCACATCACAGGCCAACTAAGTTGAGCAGTTAAAAGCATTACCTCATTAAAGCCTCAACATGATGCTCAGGAAGAAACTAATCTTTATTTTACAGGCCTTGCAAGCTGAGGCTTAGAGAAGTCAGGTGGCCTGCCATAGCTCACAGCTGACAGCTGACAGGTAGGGCACAGGAGTTGGAACCCAGGCCTACGGAGATGGCCAACTGGAGACCCATGGGCCAATCTGGGACACACATTCACTTGGCCCACTCTGTGCTTGTGAACATGTTTAAATAGATGCCAATATTAAAAAATGTTCAAACAAACAAACAAACAAACAAAAAATGCCTATGTCTCTTTCTTCTTGCAAATCACATCTGGCTACCCTCAGGGGCAAGACCACAAGGAGCTGGAATGGAGAAGCCAGACCTGGGCTGTCCAGTCTGCCACAGTCCCTACCGTTCCCTAGCATCCTTGCACTTAGTAGCTGCACTCATTGGTCCCCTGCTGAGCCCCTACAGGCATCTGCCTTTGTTCTTAAGGACATGGTTATATCTTGAAGACATCAGGGGAAGTCTCCATACACAACTTCTCCCAACACTATGGAAGACACTTGACCTATTCAAGCTCCCAAATACTTGAGTGGCTTAATTGAGACTGAGCCATGTTAGTTCTATTGATAAACCTGAGCAGGTTCAGAAAATTCCTCAGCCCCAGGACCTGCAGTGTCCTTGATTAAGCATGACTATGTAAGCTGTAGATCACTGAAAGGGCTCCATTCTTCGGCAGTGAAGCCAGTTACTTACTGTCATATCTGAAGGTGATGTTGTGCAGCCCGCTGTTTCGGCTGGCCGGCCCCACTCCCTGTGGGAAAACAAGAGAACATGATGAGGAGAGAAGCCAATGTGCTTTTCCAGCATACATCCCCATAGAGTCAAAATGTACACAAGACTGCGAAGACCCAGGGTCATGCCAGATGCTGAGCAATATCTACCACTCTTCCCACCCGCCCTGTGCCCCTTCTCCCCCACTGGCTGCCAACCTCCCTCTAGCCCAGGAGATTCCTAACTTCCAGGCCAAGAGCATCATGAGCACTCACTTCCCCCCAAGACAAAAGGAGCATGCTGCTCTGTGTTTGGGGGTTAAATAATAATTCATTAACAGTAAAATTGGGAGAGAGACCATGAGCTGCCAGCTGGAGCCCTTCCAGTTGGATCCGCTTTGAGCACTGATTGGTTATAAAATTTGCCTACCAGACACTCTCGTCCAAAAGCTCTATTAAGCCACGACAGATAGGCAATTCCTCAAGTCTAAGGAAACAGGTTTCTCATTCCGAGACCGGGAATGATTGTGGGAATAAGCCATTACTTTTAATGAGAAAATTCTTCACTGTATCCGTACCTATGCTTGGAATATATAGGGTGGGTCATAAAAGAAAAAGAAAAAAGACTTTAAAAGGCCTAACTAACTTTTGGTGATGTGGCCGTTAGCCATCTGCACTCTTCATAGCAGGGATAACAACTCCGCCAGACTCCCCACTTTAATTACAGCATCCACAGAGGGAGCACTGGAATCCTCCCATTGCCCCCGCCTTTTCCTAACCCACCACTTAGCCATCATGGGAAAGAGCAGCTACAGATCCGCCGACTCTGGTTTAACTGTTTCTGTAATAATCGGCAAATGTGCCATTCAGCATTAATTGCAGAATTCTCCAAAACAGTTAATTCTGAAATGCTAAATGATGGGAAAATATTCTAACCACACCACTAAAGTTTCCACTCAACCAAGGGGATGCTGGGGGAAAACCATATTCTGGCAGCCCAGTATTTAATGGGCAATTGTCACACTGAGACACAATGTGCAGAACCCCTTCTGATGGAGCCCAGGGTCTCAGGCCACAACCCCATCACATCCATATGCTGGAGGCATGTTCACGCTGCTTATCCTGAAGCCAGCTATGCCCAGTGAAACTCTATCCCTGAGCTCGGATAAACATGGACCTCAGGAAAGCACAGCTGTGCAGAAAGGGATGCACACAAGCACGCATGCGCACACACACACCACAATTCTAATTCAAGTGAGAAATAAGCACTAACAGGAAATCTAAATCAACGTGGTACACTAGCCCATGATCTACTGGGGCTCCCCTTCTTCCTGATGTACCTTCCTTCTCCAGCTTTCCTGCTTCCATCCTCCTTTTCCCACATACACAGGATTCTGGATTTTCTCCCCTGAGCTGAAACACTTTGGAAAGGGTGGTTTTCTTATGGAAATCTTAAATGCCTCCATAATTCCTTAGGGAGAATCCTCTAGCATACCACTAGAGGAGGCCCAACTTCCAGATGGCCAAGAGCGGGGTACCACGACCAAGCAGGACAACCCCTAGGAAATGCCCAAGACACCCAAACCACACCCTTCTCTTCCCTTACAAAGCCCCAGGATAGAAAATCACTCACCATCTCTTACGAGCCAGACATTATGCTAGGTACAGTGGTGAACAAAACAGCCACTGTCCCTGTCCTCAAGAGCAAAGTAACTCATTCCTTCAAAGGACACTAATGGGGTATGTGGATCACATGTAATGTACACAGCCGAATTTCAAATCACACCCTGACCCTCCAAGAACTCTTAGTGTGACCTAAAGGTATATGTAGCTCGGCTGAAGAGCCAGCCGTAAGTAAGCATACATATGCCTACAGGTGTCACGCGCAGCACCCCACAAAGGATGATTCCAGGGTGAGGACAGCACACCCCCAGAAACTTGAAAGAAGGAAGGATAACTGGACTAGAAGGGAGAGGAAAAGGGAGCATCATGGGAGGGAAACAAAAATGCAGGGGGGCCAAGGTAAGTACCTTAATCCTTCCATTCTCCTGCTGGTGACCATGGGCATGGTCACTTCACTCCACCTGGTCCGAGCCTCCTCCACTATCTTCCTAAAAAGATACTTTGCACGACTTTCCCCTGGGAAAGGGGTTTGAGGAGGATCACGTGAAGCCCTGTAGAGGAAGCGCTTTTCAAAAAGGAAATGCATTTAATAGCATGCTCTCCGGCATGCAGGACTCTAATGACCAGTCACCTTACTTGCAGGACTGTCAGCTTTTCAGTTTGTTCTTGTTTTCCCCATATTTCTACTGCAGCATGTTTTTCTTTTAAAGATTTTTATTTTTAAGTAATCTCTACACTTAATGTGGGGCTTGAACTTACAACCCCAAGATCAAGAGTCACAGGCCGTCCAGACTGAGCCAGCCAGGTACCCCTATAGCAGCATGTTTTTAACAGGTATTTACTGGGTGCTTGCAATGAGCAATGTATTGTGGAAAGAAGCCCAACATCGTGAGATGTGCTCTATCCTGAAGACAAGAACTTAAATCCCTCCAAATAAGGTCTGTGCTGCATGCAGAGCTGTTCAGAAGGGGGCCCAGTGAGCTGGCCTCAAAGGACAGTGAGGCTTGCATACAGCATTGATTCACTACCCACAGAGCATTCCACCTGCACCCAGGCCCTGCAGGGCTGGGCACCTGGCCTTGAACCAGACCTGGGTACTAATCTTAAGGGGCTTTGGCCACCAAGGTGATCTCCTAATGTGTAAATCTGCCCACACTCTTCTGTTTCAAGCCCATCAACAGTTCCCTGTCCCTCGTAGAACATTCCGGATGTGGTTCCTGCCTCTCTTCTCAGCCACTTCCCTCCCGACCTGCCAGACTCCTCCAGGCACTGCATTATGGCTCAGCACATGTTCTGGAGAACCTCCACATCCCAGAATGCCCTTCCCATCAGCCAGGTCCTGTTCCCTTCATAGGCTTTCTGCCTTAGTGTAGCTCCGTCACACTGTGTCCCTGACACATAGATCCACCTGCATACTCACTTGATGGGGGTATGATAATCCATCCCCACAACTTGACCGGCATGGCACTTCTTTTCACATGCAAAATGGTACTTCTGATTCCACAGAAAATCAGAGACTAAAAGACTCTGTGACCAAGCCTGGTCCTTGAGCTCAGAGGGAACAGAGCACAGAGCTCAGCTCCATGACAAGGACTTGCTCCCGTGTGCACCGGAAGACCTTTCACTCTTGGAAGTCGTCCAGGGCCCGGTTTCTCAGCACATGCATCAGACAGATGCTCCACCAGGCTGTCCTCAGTTCACACCCAAATAATGCACCTGCTGCTCCCGAGCCCTCGGAAACCCTATCAGAAATGGTGTGCCCAGGCTAGCCCACAAAGCACTACTGTTTTCTTTATACTTTGTGGTAGACAGAATGATACCCCCCCAAAAAAACATGTCCACATCACAAGCCCCAGAATCTGTGCTACTTTACACAGATGGCAAAAAGTACTACATAGATGTGATTAAGTTTAAGGAACTTGAGATGGGGAAATTATTCTGGATTATCCTGGTGAGCCAAATGTAATCACAAGGATCCTTCTAAGTGGGATTCAGGAAGGTCAGAGAAGGAGAAATGACCACAGAAGTAGAAGGCAGAGAGACCAACATCGATTTAAAGATGCTACACTACTGGATTTGAAGATGGAGATAGAAGGGGCTAATAAGCCAAGGAATGTAGGCTGTCTCTAGATGCTGGAAAAGGCAGAAAATTGGTTCTCCCCTAGAGCCTCCAGAAGGACCCAGCCCTGCCAACATCTTTAGTTTAGCCCCACAGACTCATTTTGAAATTCGGACTTCAACTATAAGATAACGAATTTGTGCTGTTTTAAGTCACTAAATTGTGTTAATTTGTTACAGCAGCAACTGAAAGCTAATATATACATATACTTTTAGCAGCAGTATGGTTGAAATGGATCTCAGTGTCACACTTGCCCATGTGCTGTCATTTGCCCCTCCCCACACCCAGAGCAGACTGACTGATCCCTTGTCACCACACTCTATCCCACCCTGGCTGCAGGCAGACATGGGACACTGACCCATCAGAGCTAGCTGCTTCAGATTCTGCCATCCTAGACATAGGCTTCTGTGGGCTAGCCTTGGACATATCTGGAGTAGAAGAGTGGTTAACAGAATGGGCTTTAGAGCTGTACAGATGTGTGTTCAAATCTCCCCCCTCTCAAGCTATGTGACCTGAGCAAGCTTCTAAACTTCCCTGGGCCTCATTTCCCTGAGCTCTATAAAGTGTTTGAATAAAACTTCCCGGAAAAGCTCGGCGTGGGACTGTGTGAGATGACACTTACCAAGCTCTCTGCACAGCATGTGACACGTTGAAAGAGTGATGGCACCATTCCTGGGAAGACTCCTGCCCTAATAAGCAAGGAGAGAGCTGTGCAGCATGGGGGTATGTGAAGTAAAAAGGGAAATGCTCACAGGAAGGGGCATCTCCAGATATGATCAGTCTCAGCACCCAGACCTGGGGGGTCTAGCAGCTGGATGGACAGGTCAGGGCAAGGTGACAAGGGCACTAACCACTAGACCACAGAATGGTCTTGGTGGGAACTGGGCAACCCAGTGATCCCCATCTCTGGGGAGTGCTCAGGTTGGATCCAATGGGGAGACACTGAAGGCCAAGTGACCAGGGTAGCACCCCTATGCCCTCATCCTCCACCCAGCTTGCACCACAGTCCTGGGCCTGGCCCATAGTCAGCCTTTGGTAAATATTAGTTTTCTGCCTGAGTAAATGAATTCATGACGAAACCAGGTAATGCACACCAAGAACCCAAGAGGACCTAGCTTCGTGTGACAGGGTGATCTATGGGCTTGGAATCAGGACTCACTAAGAGAACATGTGTAAGCGACTTACAAAGCTGGTCAATGGCTTTGGAAGCTGTCTTTCAGTAAACAAGTCTAAGCTTTTAGCTACTATACCCATTTTGACATTTAATGAGCTTACAATTAAGAATACTTGTTTGTTGCC